GCAAACATATGTACATACTAAAGTAGATGTGTTAAATCTCCAATGAACCCAACTGTTCTCATACTCCAAAAAGCTAATTCACTTAACTTCAGCTTTCACACAGTCTCTCTCTCTCTCTCTCTCTCTCTCGCTCGCTCTGACTCCACTCACGCACGCACGCGCTTTCGCTCATTCACAAAAAAAGCAAGAAAAAAAGCAACAAAAACATTTCCTTTATACTGTACATACATACATGTGTAGCTATTAATAGTCGTCGTGTGTATGTAACTGTGCCACTGTATATGTAGATCTCTGCTCTAACTGCTATATACACACACACATACTTACATGCGAGAAGCCGTTATGTTTGTGCACTGCTCGAGCCGCTTTAACATTTGCTTTCTCTCGTTACCCAACACTGGCAGGTTGTAACGACTAGCGGCCCACGCAAGCCCCAGCGCCAGACCTCGAATGCATTCTCTACCACGTCCATGGATCAGGACCCCGATCAGCAGACCCATCAGCGGGACGGCCAGGACGCGGACCAGGATCCGATGGATCGGCCATTTGCTGGCGCCGCCAGCTTAGTACACCAGGAGCTGGTCGCTGTGCACGGCGAAACAACGGCGCATTGCAAACGTCCAGCGGACAGTTCCTATTCGAATTTGAGCAACTGCATCATGCTCACGCCAACGGCCCAGCACAAACTCTGCCTGGAGACATCGTTCACCAATCTGCAGCATCAGCTGGAGCAGCGAACGGCCGCACAGCCGTTGGCTGGCAGCAAAGCCTCGTCCATAGCGGGCAGCATCTTTGGACGCAGCCAGCTCAGCTCCACAACCACTCCATATGACATATCAAGCGTCCTCGACGACAGCATCACAACGATGACCATGCGCAAGAGTCCCTGCTCCATGCTCAGCGAAACGCCAACGGTGCTCGTCAACGCCGAGGCTGGCGAGGCGCCACGGCTGCGCGCGGTCGCGTTCGACATGGCACCGACGCCTCCGCCGCTATTGGAACTGCAGCCGCTGGCGAGGCAGCACTCGGAGCGTAAGCCTCGATCCCTGCCACTGACGCAAGCGCTGCGTCGCGCCTCCTTGGCCGGCCAGGCGGTGGACTTGCTGCACGACGACTGGTATGGCCTGGCCCCGTTGGCCAGTCCCGAGACGCTGTCCGAAATCTCGAGCGTGTCTTCGCGCAGCAGCGTGCCGATCAGTTTGGCCAACAGCGTTGAGCGCTACCTGCAGCACATGGGCGTGGCTGCTGCCGGAGTGCCCAAGGTGCCGCTGGAGGACATATTCGAGTCGCAGCTGCATACGCCCAAGGTGATGCGCCGTGCGCCAAAGTTCACTGAGAATTTGTCCGGCTGTGCCGAGGACACGCGCAATCTGGACCAGTACAAGCGGCTGGGTCGTGTCTTTGTCACGTTCCCGCGCATCTTCCCCGAGCCCGGCGCTCATCAGCAGCTGCAGTACAAGCACAGTCTGGGCCTGGACTCTAACTCCAGCGACGATAGCTTCGAGTCGGCGCACAGCCTGCATCGGCTACAGCTGCCGGCGACCGTGCCGTGCGCCGCCAGCTCCAAGTCGGCCGACCAGCTGGATGAGGACGTGCGCACGTCGCCCGTCAAAAAGCTCACGTTCAGTGACAGCAACATCCTGGCCGACGAGCATTGCCTGCGTCTATGCCCCCACTGTCCTTGTCGGTGGGATGGACGCGATTGCTGCACGCGCTCGGAGCATGATCATCAGCAGTGCGCCAAGGCGGAGGCGACAACAACAGCGACGGAACAGGCACAGGCACAGGGACAGGCAACGGCAATGGCAACAGTTGGCTCCACGGACACCAACAGCAGCTTCTATAGCGCCAACTCGCAAGCGTCGCTGGAACAGTTTGCCACGCCCAGTCGGCAACAGGAGCCGCTGAAGCTGAATGGCGGACATGCGCTCAATGAGATAATTATACGTCCTGGCGTGCTGGAGTCACACTTTCCCGTCTTTGGCGGCGCTGCTCAGCCGGAGACGCCGGCCATTGTGGCGCCAGCATCGCCCTCGCCCATAAGCAACGGCGGCAGCAAGAAGCCCGATGTGGTTGGTGGACGCGTGCGCAAGCGCCTGTCCTCCGAGGAGTTTGTATTCGCGCGCAGCGAGGATCTTCCCATTCTAGTACAAATCGGTGATAGGAGCAACAGCGGCTCGCCCTCGACCCGCAAGCAGCGACGCGGCTGCTGTGTGTATCCCGTTGGCAACAACATACGCATTGCCGGTGCCGATGTGGACGCAGCTGCTGCGACCGTCGCCTTTCCCACGTCCATTAGCAAATACTCCCGCACTCGCGTCGCTGCGGCGGCGGCGTCGGCAGCGGCAGCGGCAGCAGCGGCGGCGGCAGCAACTGCCAAGAAAGGAATAGAAAATAGCGAAAGTAATGTTTAAAAAGTATATATATGTATGTAAGTGTAGTTGAATGCAGTACCTAAGCAACCGCAACCGCAACCGCAAACGCAACCGCAACTGAAACCGGAACCGAAACCAAAAGATTATTCCATTTATTTGCGATGTGCACCAAATGAAATGAAAACCAGAATAGAAAGCAAAACTAAATGAAATTACAATTTCGCATACATACCAACAATATATAGCGTGTAAACACAGCGTTTAACATTGAATAAATGCAATATACATATATTTTTTGTGCTCAATGCAAAAAGAAAGTTTTAATAAAATGTTTTAAATAAAAAACGTTACAAAAATACAAAAGGCTTTCGAAAATTAATCGATTTAATATCAGCAGCGTAATCGGCACTTCTTTATTTATTTACTTAATAACGATCGTATACAAAATCGCACATCGCACAAAATATCGATAATTTCATAATCAACCAATGCACTAATGTAAAAATACCAATAAAAATACTTCCTATCGATTGCTCAATTCAATGAGTGGATCAATTAAACCCTAAAAAAATGAATTGCTTAATGCTCTGGGTAAATTCGCGACTAAGCTAAGTTTTATTGCATGATTGATTAAACACAAGCAATTTAATATTGCCGATAGTGCATTCGCGGTAAATTCGTGCAGGCGGTGATTGTTTGATTTTTGTGAACTATCGACAACTTTTCGATATAAGAAAATAACAGCTGTGCGCAAGCGATGCTGAGTATTTCAATTTTAGTATTTTTGGAATTAAACAAATGGTCTCTCCAAACTTATTCGAATTCAATGTTTTGTATATTTAATATTAATATTAAAATGATATAAGTTATTTTGTGAGTAATTTTAACATTGATTCAAAGCAAACATGTCACTCTTTCCGGCATATGACGATGGTAAACAAAAAGTAAATCGAAATGTGGAGAAGTTGGAAACATCAGGTAATGTGATTTTTTTTATTTTTTTATTAATTATAGCTATTAATTTATTTCTTTGTACAGCCAATACTACTGTTAAGTGGCAGAGCAATCAGAGCTATGATCTGCCTGCCCAACCTGTGATTAATCTGGAAAGTGAACCCGAGTCCGACTCCGATTCAGACTCCAAATCCAAACCCGAATCCGATAATGATTCCGATTCCCTTGCCAACTCGAGCCGATGCTCCCCCAAAGAGGCAATTGTGAAGCGTTCCCTCGAATTCGATGGCAGTGTGGAATACTACGTGGACAAGTCGGCCAATAAACGACACCTTAAATGGGAGACGCTGCCACCTCTGACTCGACCCAAGTACTCAATCAAACTGCGCCGCTTGGCAGATCCAAATGGCTGGCGTTCAAAACAACGCAAGATGAAGAAACGCCCGTGCCTAAGCAAGTACCTGCAGCAGAAGGCGGAGCCAAAGCTGACTGCCGCAGAGGCTGCGGAAAAAACTCAGCGCATTCAAGAGCTGCAAAGCTTGGTGGCCAACGAGCCGCAACAACTTAACAACTGGATCGAGTTGCATCAGCTGCTCGGTCAGAATGTCTCCAAGAGCAATCGCCTGGCCGTCGCGGAACAGCAGCTCCACAAGCTCGAAACAGCGCTGGAGCATCATGCGGGCAACGAGCAGCTGCTGAAGCTCTACGTGGACACGGCCAGCGCAACATATCCAGATAGTCAGGTGGGCGAGCTGACAGATGACAAACTTGTTAGCCAAACTTATTGATCAACAAACATACTTCCCTTCCAGGTGGCCACCAAGATCGAGCAGCTGCTGGAACGCACACCGTACGAGTACACCCTGTGGACGGCCCTGATCATGACCACGCAGGGCACGATGGCGCGCTGCAATGTGCCGGACGTGCTGCACATCTATGAGCAATGCATGCGACGTATGCACCTGGACTCGAAGGACAAGCACCACCACACGGACGAGCTGATGCTGAAGCTCTTCCACAACTGTGTGCTCTTCATGCGCCAATCGGCGAATTGTGGTCAAATGTTTGCGCTGCTGAAGCTGGCGCTGGAATTGAATTTCCACAGCTTGAGCTTCGATTGCTTTGAGGCGTGCGCGGCAAAGGAGGCGCCACTCGTTGACTATGAGGAGCTCGTGCTGCGCTCTGGCATGCCGATGCCCGAGATTTGGACACGCATCGAGCGTCTGCGGCAGGCCTACAATTTTCTGCCCTATCCACAGCTGCGACGTGATCAAATGGAGCAGGACCTGGAGGCGAGACTCGATTCGCAGCGCTGCATCTACACGGATGACGTCTGCCACTACATTTACCCATTGAAATCCGTGGACAATACGATGCAGTTGCTGCTGCTCACCGTGCAGCTGACCAAGCTGCCATTCGTGCGCACCGATTGCCTGGCAGAGCGTCTGTGCGCGCGTCTCGATCAGATTGGTGATTCGGAGGCCATCGAAATGCTGCACGCTGGACTGGGCGAACGATTCAGTTATGCGCTGCCAGTGCACAACGCTGGCAAGGATTACAGCCAAGCCATGCTGCAGATGGCCAAGGAGCTGTCGGTTAGTCCCACCTATATGCCGCATGCCATCGGCCATGAGCTCTATGAGGACTGCCTCGCTCAGCTCCTGCTCAAGTGCAGCGACGCCTTGCAAGATAGATCGAAGCGTCTGGTATTTCTTTTGCTATGGTTTCGCTTTGAGCGACTGCGTCTGCTGCTGCTCAAGCTGGGCGGCAATCTGACAGCGGAGCATTGGCGCCTGGCCAGGCAACGCATGCGGCAGCTACTCAGTCAGCCCGCCAATCGGGACCTCACCAGTCTCTACACCGAGATGGCCATTACCGAGCACGAGGCTGCGGCCAATCCGGAGCAACTGCAGCGGAGCGCTGGCATCTTTGATCGTATATTGGCTGCCTCATCGGATTACCAAGACGTCGAACTGTTGCAAGCGGCTGTGGTGCGTGCCGAGCTGCTGGTGGCCCAACAGCAACCGCAGCAGGCGCTTCATTTACTCAGCTGCTTAGCGTTGGGCAAAAACTCGAACTGCAGCCAGGAGTCGATCGAAATGGAACAGAATGAACTGATCCAGCACAGCGGCCAGCTTTTGGAGGCTGCCTTGGCTACAGCGAGCGAGCAGGCTGCTCGAGCTGCGTCAGCCATGCCCCTCGAGGATTACTTCTTGCCAAATCGTTTGCTTCTGCTGCTCCGCTCGCATTGTCTGTTGCTGTGCCTGCTAAATGAATCGAATGCAGCCCTTGAACTGCTGGAGCAGCTGCTACGCCAGCCACTATTTGCATTGGAGCCGGCACAGCTGGAGCGGACACGCTGTCGTCATCTGCGGGAACAGCTGCGCGAGCTGCAACTGCTGCTGCTTCAGTTGCCCGGCAGGACGCGTGGTCAGCAGCTGATCCGAATGCTGGAGCAGTCGCTGCAAGAGTTTCCGCGCAATCTGTCACTGCTGCAACGCTGGTCTACACTGGCCACCTTGCCGTGGTACAAGCTGCGCTCACGCCTTGTCCATAGCAAGGCGGGCATCCTGGCTCTGCTGCACTTGATCATCGCAGCGCATTGCCGTTTCGTCCAGCACACGAACACGTGCGGCGATCTGGAACTGGATCTCGAACAAAAACAGCAGCAGCAGCTGCAGCACAATCGCATGCTGAGCATATTCGAGACTTTTCTGCCCAGCAATTCGCATCGCTCTGTGGAGGAAGCCGAACAATATGCGATTCTGCGTCGCAACTCCTTGTATTGGCGACTCTATTTACGCTGTCTGTCTACGGAACGTACCAGTTTTGAGAGTAGCAAACGCTGTCTGCTAATGGCCCTGGACGAATGTCCTTGGGACAAGGCGCTCTACATGGATGGGGTTACGTATGTGCCGCAGGAAGTAGGCAATCTTCAGGATGTGATGACTGAGAAGCAGCTGCGCATTTACGCTTTGCCCGAGGAGCTCAACGTGTTGCGCGAGGCATAGCAACTGCACAGAAATTGTACAATTGTAATATAATAAAATAAAATTTATTTAAAGTTTTACTTTCGTAGTTTAAATCAAAAAACAGTTTATTGCAATTCGGTGTGACCAAGATTGAATGGAACTAAAATACAAAGCTGGAAAAGGAACCTTAAAGTATTTCGATGATCGATAAGCTTTGGCTGTTTAGTATATTTAATAATCACAAAGCTTTAAGTACAAGAAAAATACTAAATATGTCGCAAAAAAGCTTTAGTAATTGAATTGACTAAATAAATGTGGATCGTGGAAGCTTTTTCAGCTCTGTAAATAAAGATGGTCGAATGGAATAATTAAATGTTAGAAATATTAGACTCATCATATGAAAACAACAAATTGTACGACGACCAAGAAAAGAATTTATATTTATTTTATTTAAGGAAATGTACAACAAATGGTCGAATATATAGCATACTTTAGAGGATATTCTATTTTATGTATTGATATCAGAGTTATACTGAATGTAAGTTTATTTTTAAGTAGACTGTTAACACCTTAAAATATTGTTGATCAGCAATCAATATTTTCATTTAAATTGTTTGTGCTGAGAATTGTTATGAATTTGGTATGCAGCTTTACCAACTTGAGTATTTTAACGAACTGTCCACCACTAATTTGAAACTTACATGTTCTAAATATTTGTTGGCAATTTAATTTGGCATGAAAGTGGCTGCGATTAAGTCTTTAAGTAATGCATATATTTTAAATTCAAAATAATGCGCCAACAGCTGCAGCTACACGCAAACTCCTAGCCACCCTTCAAATTTTCGTATAAGAGTGCGCGCGCGGCAGCGAGAGCCAAATTAAAAAATATTGCGTATACGACATGCAGGCAAAGCTCTTAAAGCTTGCGCTCAAAACAAATAAAACAAACAAAAAAAGACAAAAACAAAAACAAAAGCATCGCCGAAAGCTTCTTGCGAATGAGCTCTTGGCCAAATTGTCTCAGCTGTATGATATCCTGGCCCAAAAGTGGGCTTGGAATAATGCGCCGCCAATGCCAATGCCAATTGGTTCGCTGTTGTCGCCTGTCGAGTCAATAGGCAGTCGTCGCTAGTCGCTTGACAGCAGTCCAAGTCCAAAGACGTTGCCGTCGCAGATGGTCGCCGCGCAATCAGTTCAATTGTTTTTTTTTTTTCTGTTTAGCAGAAGCGCGAAGTAACGGCGACGCATTAAAATTAACCCGCAGGTAGAGACACATCTCAACAGGGCATCTGATGCAGTTAATGCTCTCAATACATGTCTCTATAAATATTTAGTGCATATACATAGATATTCAAATGTATATGCGTGTGTGCGTGTGCGTGCGTGATTGCTGCACGTCCCGTCTAGCCTGTTGTGTAAGTGTGCGGGTAGCGGCTTCGAGCTTCGCCGTTGCCGCCTGAACAGCGACGTTAGCGCGTACGCTGCTCTGCCGTCGCAAAAGCTCACCTCCACCGCCGTATCGCTCTCCCACTTTACCGCGGCGTAGTTGTTGTTATACAAAAAAATAAAATAGAAACAATAAATGGAAAAGAAAAATAAAATAAAAAATTAACATGGATAAATGAGCTTCGAAATGAAAGTCTTGTCGTGTGCGTGTCTTTATGTGCGTGTTTTTTTTGTTGTTATCCTTTTAGGCAAGGCTTAACCAAACGTTAATTTCTCTGTCTCTCTTGCGCTCTCTCTCTCTCTCTTTCTCTCTGCACTCGCGCTATCACTCTCACGTTGTTTAGCTGCCACTTTGCGCTCTCTTCAAAGTGCTTTGCATTGCTTGACGTTCGCCCGCTCGCTTGCTCTCCCTCCACACTCTCTAGCTCGTACTCTCTCTATCTGCTGAAGCTCGCTCGCGGCAGCGGCCTAGCTGCTTGGGTTGCTTTGGCTGATTAGTTTAGTTTGTGATTTCAATATAATTAATTTCTGTTTCTGTAGCGGTTTGTTCGGACGTCGAACGTACGCTCGCTCGCTCGTCGCTCGTTTGCCCGCTCGCTCGCTTGTTCGATAGCTGCTGGCTTCGCTTCAGCTTCAGCTTCAATTGTTGTGTTTCAGTTTCTGTTTTCTGCGTTCCGATTGTCGTCGCCGCCGCCGTTGTCGTCGTTGCCGTTACTTTATTATTTTTCCTTTTTTTTGTGTTGTTTTGGCATCGGAATCGAAATCAAAATTATAATTCGACCCGAAATCGGTATCAAACTTAATGACGTGCAACGTATTTTCGAACAGAGATCAAAAATCCATGTTTGTTTTTGTTTCTTGTGTGCACCTGTGTATCTGCTGCGTGGGGGCGAGGTGGGTGTGATAATCAGCTGAAAACGGCGCCATCTAGCGGCAGCCAAATTAATTTGAGAGCGGCTGCAACAAATGTTCTTTCTGTTCCATCTTATAGCGTAGAAAGAGAAACAACAACATTCAGAAACATACATATGCATAAGTATATATATTCATACATATGTATGTATTTGTATATGTGGCTTGTACGTGCCCATGTGCGCCTGTGCGTGTGTATGAATTCGTGTGTGCGTGTGTGTGGTTGTTAATTTTTGTATGGCACAGACAAGCCAAAAATTAACATATTAATGAATTTCCAGTTTCTTTTTTTTTTAGTTTTTTTTTCATTTTTTTTTTTTTTTTTTGTTTATTTGCTTTCGTCTCGTATTTTCGAATTGCTTTTAATTTTGCTAACAATTTATTTATATATATTTCTATATATACATTTCTATATAAATATTGTTTTTTTTTTGTTTTCTTACAAGTATTTTTTATTTATTTATTTATTTATGCCGCCAAATCAATCAAAATATCAAAGCGAAAGAACAACAACAGCAAAGAAACAAGAGATTAAAAACAATAAACCGTAAGCAATAGCCAATAACAACAACAATAACAATAATAACAGCAACAACAAATAAACAAACAACAATAACAACAATAATAATAACAACAACAACCACAGTGAGCAAAACGCACTCATTAAAAGTCTAATAAAGTTTTTCGGTTTTTATTATATTTGTTGTTGTTGTTGTTCATTTCAAGGTTTTATTTTTCGTTTTTGTAGCTGTGCGTGTGTGTGTGAGAGTGTGTATGTGCTGCTCGTATATTTCTTATTTTATTTCATTTTCGTTCGATTTGCCGTTGTTGTTGCTAGTTTTTTTGTTTTTGAATGGTGCTTTCTGCTTATTCTTCTTCTTCCTAAACATCTTCGATTCGAACGCATGTCAAAGTATTGGCGACGGCAGCTTTCAAGCCAGCGGCGACTGCGACGCAGCGCGCACGCTTTAAAAGTTATTAATTTTCATAATAATTAACTTTGGGAATTTGTTGCAAAATATTCAACACACATGCCGATACACACACACACTCACATAAACATGAGTTTTTATAATATTATTTGTTGTCTCCTCGAGCACGACAAAATTATTGCTGACGTCGCATCTGCCGCCGTCGCCGCCGCCGCCGCTGCAGCTGCTACGTCGTTGTCGTTGTCGTCGTCACCGTCGCCGTCGCCTCGCCTTACGCCTTACGCCTTACGCCTCGCATACAAAACAGAGAGAGAGAGAGAGAAGCTTGTACACGCATACAGCAAGTGCTAACCAATACCAGTGCAGTGGCAGCAGCAGCTGCTGCGATTGTTAGTGCTGTTAAAAGCACAATACGAAATTTCTTACCTCCCTCAAAATACTTACACACAGCGCCAGGCAGAGCAGACAGGGCGGGCATAGTCTGTAAATGTAAGCGCAGATAAGCAAGCAAGTTGCGCTTAAGTGCAAGCTCAGACAAAATGCGCTCATCGATGTACTCTCTCGCTTACTCAAATGCGCACTCAGCTGGCTGTTTGCATCACTGTTATTATCACTATCAGCATCACTCAAATGAACTGAGCTTTCGCAATCTGATCTACAAGTCAACAGCAGAGAGCAAAGGCAAAGGCAAAGGCAGAGGCAGAAGCAGTGGCAATGGCAAAGAGCGAACGGGAGAGTGAGTGTGACAGAGAGCGGCAGCAACAACAAGTGTTCCCTTAAATTTGCTGCACGAATTACCCATACGCAGTGTGAGCTACACAGCGAAGTGCAAGCAAGCGATATGTAAACAATTAATAACGAAAACAATATTATGCAGTAGCTGCAGTAGCAACAACAATCATAACAATAGACGTGCTAAATTGAGTAATAGCAGCTACTTAGAGACATACATACATACATGCCAGCGGACGTATGTACGTGGTTCTATATATCTCTCTCTCCCCTTGCTCTCGATGTGGCGAAGTGCGAGTGCAAAGCTATTTTTGGTTTGGAAACGGTGACGGCGACGGCGATGGCGATGGCGACGGCGAATTGCTAGCAGCAGCTACCGTTGGCGTCGCTGTCGTCGCTACAGTTAGTGGTTAGGCCAGGTCGAGGCAGTCACAGCAGCAGCAGAGAGCTCATACAAGTTAAAGAGCGTGAGCAACAGAGGCAGCACTATTGGCAACGCAGCGGTTCGACCAACCAAAAAAAAGATTAATAAAAGAACAGCAAAAACGGCGCGCAATTTTCTAAACGATTTTTCCAAGGACGTTGCTTGCACCTTGTCCTTTACCATGAATGGGTGTTGGTGTGGGTGGGCAGTCTGTGATGAGACGCAGAGAAGCTAACACAGTTCACAGCTGTGTGTTTATCAGTTATACTTTGGTATTCAATCATGCGCTCTGAAAAAATTGTCACATCTTTAGCTCTATTTATAAACTAGTCGTCACACATACACACACACACACCCATGCATATATAATTGTACGTGTGTGTTGGTTGTTGTCGTAGTTGCTGTTGGCGTATACGTAATTCGCTCAATTTTGTATGCGCTCTGTAATTAACTGCCTTACCGTTAGAACGAAAACAGAAGTAAACAAACGGCGCGCACAGGAGTGTTTGGGTTAGCTGCGGCGAGAGGGAAAGAGAGAAATAGAAGGAGGGGCGGGGAAACGTTGTATTGGAAGCATTGGCAAACGGCGAGAATAAAGAATAAACGAGAACAAGCTAGCATATTATATAATTTATTTATTGTTTTGCGCTCACGGCAACTTGCGCTAATGTTGTTGCTGTTGTTATTGTTGCTGTTCTTTTTGATAATCTGCGTCTCCGTCTAGCAATTGCTGTGCCTTTTGCTCGCTGGCTCTTAAGGCTTTTGTTTTTGTTATGTTCGTGCTCGCGCAATGCAAATAAAATGAGCAGCCAGGCAGGCTGAAGAGCGGCGGGCGGTGAGCGGGAGAGTGGGAGAGCGCGCGTAACAACAAAATGTTTAAGTTTGCCGTTGTTATTGTTGTTGCTATTATTGCTCGTAACTGCGACTGCGACCCAGGTGATTGACCCAGGCCAGTGTCACTGTCACTGTGACTGCCGCCGCTGTCGACGCTGCTTGTTCCTTTGCTGCCGCTGCTACCGGTGCTGCTCATTAATTTTCTTTTGCGTGTTTGTTTTGCAATGTGTACTAGAAATTTGCCCACAGCTCCACAGTACTAGTTGTTTATCAAGCCCACTCCCACCTTCTGGATTGCTTAGACATCTATATTTCATGTCCCTGTTGTGCGTGAGCCTTGGTCTGGGTGTGCGTGTGAGCTTTTTGTCGTCTTTGCCTTTTGGGGTGTGCGAACAACAACAAGAATGAGCAACAACACACACGTATTGTTACGATTCATGCTTCATGCTCTTATACTTCTCTTATTTGATTTGAACAGCACACACACACTTACTCACACATGAAAGTGCATGTGCTTTATAAAAATGTCTGCTTAAGTCCACAAATTTCGAAGTCAAACTCGAAGTCGAAAGCTTTGAGGCAGAACACGCCCGCACTCTTCCATCCTCATGCTCATTTGCAGTCTATCTTATACGCTCAAACAGCCGGCCAACCACCCACCCACCCTCTCTCGCAGGTTTCAAGCTTTCGTGCTAAATGAACAAGCGAAGACGCAGCTTCGACCGGTTTCCATTTGACTAAAGCTCTTTTTTTTTGTTTATGTGTTGTTGTTACTTGAAGCGGCAACAACAACAACAATAAGAACAACAGCAACAGGTGACAACACAGGCAAAAACAAAGAAACAAAAACAAAATGATTAGCTATATGTTTAAATATTTTTTTTTAATTAGCAACAACAACAGAAACGAAAACAAAATCAAATGCGACCCAAAATTTAAATAAAGCCATAAAAAAATAGTTAAAAACAAAAAAAACATGAAAAGTGTAATTTAAAATAAATTAAAAATCTATTTAAATGCTTTTAGACAAAGCGCACCAAGACCAACAACAACCTAAACCGAGCACAAAGTGCGCGATTTTTTATGTGAATTTTGTGTATGTTTCATTTTTTTTTTTTTTGCTTGGGCAAATATACATATAGTTTAAAAAATTGTTTAACAAGTTTTTTGTTTTCTTTTTTTTTGTGTGTGCTTAGAGTTCACAATGAGCTAATGTAACAGGAGCAGCAGCAGCAACAACAACAATGTACACTTGCAGAAAACAGTGCGACAAAGCAACAACAACAATTACCTCCGCACCGCAACGGCTGTACAAATATTAACAAACAAAAATACATATATAGATAAAAAAAAAGGAAAGAAAACAATTTTTTTTTGTTTTAAATACAACAAATGCAAAAGTCCCAACTTAACGAAAATAGCAGCAGCTGCAACAATAAAATACATTTTAAAACAACTACAACAAAACCAACCAAATAAATACCAAAAAATAATTTAAAAATACAAAATAAATACAAAAATATATATACAAAGTTTCAATAACACAGCAACAAAAAGTACTGCATGCATTTCTATGTGAAAAAAAATATACAAAAAACTTAACAGAATAACTTAAAAGTTTACATATTTTTTATGTGTACACATCCCCAATCGCATTCATGTTAAATATATATGTACATACGTAACAACAAGAACCAAGAACAAGCCACCAAAAGAAATAAAGTACAAACTGACCAAACAAAACAAAACAAACAAAAACTCAACTGAAGCACATTAAACCCGTTACAAACTAAAAGCAACCGCGCAGTCAACAAAAACAACAGCAAGTGCAAAAGGTAAAAAGGAAATAAACAAATTTGCGGCGTGCGCAACAAACACGAAAAGTAAGCAAAAGGAGAAAAAAGGAACACGTAAAGAGTGTGTGCGTCGGGGCTAGCGCCAAAGCCAAAGCTTAACAGCAGCAGCCACAGAAAAAAGAAAGAAAAAAGAAGAAGGAGAAAGAAAAAACAGTAACAATAGCAAACAGTCGACGCGCACTTCATGCAGAAAAATAAGAAACAGCACAAAACATGTAAGTAAAATTGATTTTTATACACTACAGAATGCGAAAAGTAGACTATACAAACTAAGTAACGTTTTGTCAATGATAAATGGTAAGGGCTAGAAATTCATACAATGATAATTATATATATTATTTTATTATTATTAACTTATTATTATTTATATCAGTGGATATAAAAATAACAATAATAATAATAGTACTGAAACTCCACTTCATATCACATTTCTACATTTGTTATTAACTGCTTCTTATTAGGCAGATAACAGAGTATTGTGCAGTCGCTTGTCGATTGCAATTTGATTTTGGCTTCGTTTGTATGCATATTTGTGTATCTATGTATGTATGTTCATGTGTCAAGCATTGTTGGGGTTGCCCTTGTTACTGGTTGTCTTTGTTGCTGCGACTCCTAACCTACATAAATATTAAATATTTTATGCCGTCTGCCTTTCACTCACACACACACATATGCACACTCACAACCTGCTGCTGGCTCGCTCACTCGTGGTTGAGTCGGTCGGCTACCTCCTCTCGCCTCCAGTTTGCACGCATTGTGCGTGAGTGTAAATCTGCTGTCAGTCTGGCAACGTCTGCTGCGGCTTAAGCCTCTAACAACAAACAACAACAGCACCTGGTGGGCGTCTGTTTTTGGGGATCGTTATGGTTACACTTACTTATCTCCCAGAGAGCGAATGTGATAGATAAAGAGTGTGGGTTGCCAAAAAAAAAGAAACAGAAAATAAGAAAAAAGAAGCCAGCGTCTGAGGCTTATCAAAACGTCTGTGTTCACGCGTATAAAGATTATAATTGTCGCACACATTTACATACAATATGTGTGTGCGTGAGCTTATATGTACCATATATGGATAATTGCAATGCAAATGAACTAAAAGCTCGCACAGCTCATAAAAAAATGCGAAGCAGACTTCTTGCTGATTGATGATGGGCACAATTTGCGAATTTTACATGCGTAGAAAGGGCGGCGAGACAGAGACAGCGATAGAGATAATGGTAAGGGCAGCTGAGGTAATGTAAGGCAATTGACCCGCATTCCTATTCACTCAGGCATACACAATGCGCCCCGCTCTATCTTTTGCCTGGACCTGGACTGAAATTGCAAATGCCGTTATAATAATATTTGCACATTTTAATGTAAAAAATATTTTGAAGGCATCTTTATTTATTGGACATTTTTTATTGTCTGTAATCATAAATAAAATAAAGCATACTTTTATGTCGACTTCGATTGTTGTCATTATGATAGTGGGCTATATTATATCTATAGAAGATTTATTTCTAGATAATTTATATAAGATCTAAGCGGTTGCAAAGGAAGAGTTGCCAGACTTTCAATAATAAATAACTATCTGTCAAATGTATAAGCTTCTATACATAGGGATTAAACTGCTCGGGAATTATAAGCAGGACTTGAAGATAAAATAAATTTGGGGAAAATAAAGAAATATGTTTGTATATACATATATTTATACATCTGTAAAGAATATCATAAAAATATCAATAAAATGGAATTTAGAGGGAGCGAGAGAGAGGGAGATGGAACAAAACAATTGAAGAATATAAATAAAATATTTTCGTTTTGTTTTGTTTTTATTTTTTTGTCAATAATAGTGAAAGAAAACAAAATAAAAAGAAGAGCAAAAATAAACCTTGTTCTTAAAAATATTTTTCCACTCAGGTTGATTGACCCCTTCTCCAACCGGCATAGCTATACGCCTTAAACATACACATGATACACGATCCGTTTAGTAATCCGTCAATAAAATTCTTTTTTTGGCTGGGAATTTCCGTGGAGCTTGCCCAATTGTCAAAGAAAATCTAACAACAACAACAATCGAATAGAATAGTAAATATATAAATATAGTTCAAAGATATCATATGGATATATATAACATAAATAAATATATAGATGTATGTCTATATATATATATGTCTATATATATGTGTCTTGTGTGTGTTTTGTGGTATGCTCATTATTTATAGGTAGCACTTGCTAATATACTATAAATCTTACATATATTTATTATATATATATATATATATATATATATATATTGGTATATAGAAATATATTCAAGAAATATGTCTATGACACATGAAGCCTTCTGTTTATCGCTTTTAGCATTTTATGAGCCTAAGTATTATGTATGCAAATGAGCTAATAACACAACTGACCGACTAGCAGATATCCTGTAAAAGTAAAAAAACAATTCGAAAATATGACATTTAAATCTATTATTTTTATTATTATTAAGACTTAAATTAAATATTGTTAAAAATAATATTAGTATAAAATACAAAAAATGATCTCATCTTAACTTTTAGCAGTTGCCAGTGCATCCGTTAGTCAGCTATACCCAAAGATATGGATATGCTTCCTCTTAAATCTATTTTGAATCCAAAACCTTGCACGAAAATAGATTTACAAAGAAAACCGACAAACGAAAATAAAAAAAATATTTAAAAAACAAAAAATTTAAAAAAAAAATGAAAAATTTTTGTCTACGGAAAATAATAGAAAATATGAATTTATTTACTACATGACACGCAACAAGAGCAATCAAATAAATTATGAAACAACAAAATTAAATTGTTTTCGATAAGGCAAAACTATAAAAAGTTGATATCGTTAAGATACCCTGTAGCAGCATGCTGCTACACTGGGTTACTTGCGAAAATATGGCAACGCTTTGTAACTGTTTGCTAATTCTAAGCTCATTGAGATTATACAGAACTGCAAACCAACAGTTAAAACTCAATGTTTAACATTATATATTATTTGACTGTTGACTTTATGAAGGTCTGGCAACGCTCTTTTTGTTAATTCAAAAATGCCTGAAATTATACAGAGCTGGAAAACAACAATTGACACAGAATGTTGAATGTTATAAGTAGTTTGAGTGCCACACTGCTGACTTTGTGAAAGTCTGGCAACTCTTAGAGCTCAGTTTTTATTGGGCTCGTTCGCAGTATATCTTTTTGTGTGATATATGCAATAGAATTTTAATCTCTATTAAGTGGACTATTGCAAAGGTGCTGCCAGACTGTTTGATTATAAAAGTCTGGCAACTCTGCACGAGCCATGCTCTAAACTTTAAGCCTTAGGAGTTGCCTAACCTTCATAAATATGTAACTGAAGTAAAGTAGCAAATTAGAAGAATATTATGATTTGTCTAAGTCAATTAAACTCTCTAGACAGCAGGCATATTACAGGGTATCATCAATTAAATCGTTGTCGAACATGAGCAATAAAAGCTTAACAACTTGTTATATCAAATTGTTATAATTCAATCCCTTGACCTCTCTTTCACGCCTCACTCTCGCTGTAATCCTCTCTCTCTCCGTCTCTGTCGCTATATATATACTCTTATCTCCCTATAACTATGACCTCAACTGATCTGTGCTGTTGTCTCACCTGCAGCGCCCCGGTCATCAAAATGAGCGCCCTCGACGCGTACCTAAAGCGTCCAGCGAAGACGGCGACCAGGTCAAGCTCGGAGCATCCCAGCAGCGATCAGGCGGCGCAGGCGGACGTTGAAGATCTCAAAACAGACATTCCCTACTTTGACGATCCGCAGGAGCAGCAGCAGCAGCCAGAGGCTGATCCTCAGCAACAGCAGCAGCAGCAGCGGGGATTTGTGTCCGCCTGGTCGCCAGCTGAGGAGGCAGCCACACCCGAGACGCAGCTGCAGGAGGACCTGGAGCTGGATGATAGCTATACGGATTCGGATTATGCGGCCAGTGGCAGTGCCTCGAACAGCTATTATCAATCGCCGACGCCATCGAATAGCGACATAATGCTGCGGCCGCCTTCCAACTCCAGCTTTCAATACAGTTATCCATCGCCGGGAACTGGACCAGGTCCAGGTGGCGGCGGTGGCGGTGCTAGCAATAGCAGCAGCAACAGCAGCTCAGCCGGTGGCAGCGGGCGACAGCATGCGGCCTATGGACATTCCCAGGCGCTGGCGTTGCCGCCGCCGCCATCGCCGAGCACATCCTCGGCCAATATGTATCCCAATATGTGGTATCCGAATGCATCGTATGGCAACCCAGGCGCTGGCCACGCCTACGGACGATATGCGGGCTGTGGCGTGCCGCTGGGGGCGGCTTCGTATGCGACAGCTGTGGCACATGGCATGTTGCCACATGGCCATCACCATCATCATCATGCGCCGCTGCATCATTCGCATACGCATCCGCACCCACCTTCGCATCCGCATCCGCATCCGCATGCACTTCCACATCCACACACGCATCCGCATCACCAGCATGCGCATCACCCGCATACGCACGAGACGATGATGGAAATGTTTCATCTCTCGAATAGGTAAGTGTACCATGAGTATATTACTTACTTTGCATTCGATATTTATCGATTTTCGATTAAATATTAATACTTTAGATATGTGTTGTGATATGAATGTACAGCTATTGTCTGATAGCACTTTGCTCCTATAATATTCGAGCTATGACATGAATGGATATATCGATATTTATCGATGCTGCATTTGAAAATTGAGATCAATTTCTTTTTCTGTATATTCTCAGTCAGAATGTTTTTATAGAATGCGCTCACAAATGTTCTTATCGTTTTTTCAAATATATGCAAACAAATTGCACTTAGATATTTATCGATTAATCGATTCGTGTTGCCAGGCATATATATATATATATATATTGCATATGCATGCACAATTGTCAAATATTCTCGAAATCTTCAAAACCCACATGAACTTTTAACAAATCGATATTTATCGATAACCCAAAAGAGTGGCTATATGTTTAAAAGAATGCAGTGAAGCTACTAAGAACTGAATCCTCAACAGTTTGTTTACCAAAATAGTTTAGTTCTTATCGCTGCTAGCCATAGAGTATAGTTATCGGTCATAATCGATTTCTACTTATCTGTGTGAGTTCTATATGGCAAGCCTTCGATTTAGCTTAACTTTGCTAAGTATATTCGAAGACTTTTTGCATTTATAATGTATATAGAAGCTATGTCAAGTCAAATTCCACTTGTGGCCTTGTTATACAGATAGATATATATTATGTATATATGTTATGTATATATGTATATGAAGAGTGGGAGCTCTAGCCACTTGAAAGCTGATAAAAATCTATTTTTCTTGCTTTCTACACTCACACTCGCTTCCATTTGCTTGGCCAATTTTCTTAGCTCACAAACAGCGGAAACAAGTGTCCCCGGCCCAATCCGTTCCGCGCCCCCTCCTCGCGCCAACTAGCGCCGCAGCAAGCAAATCATTCGCCAACGCACGCTGTTCAGCTTTTTATGGCCCGTGCAGCCAATTTGGCCACATTTGTTGAGCTGCTGACCCGCTGTGCGTCTGTTGGCTCTGATTGGACTCGATTGCTGCCGTTTGGCAATGGCCAACCCCTCCTCCACCCCTCCCCCTCCCCTGCGCCATTCTGGTCCTTTGATAATTCATCCTGTGGCGTTTTTTTTTTATATTTTTATCAAATTGTTTGTTTTTCATGAAATTTGCACATTTATTTTCGTCACACACATTGCAAGCAGCAGAGACAGCAATTTGCTCAGTGGGTCATTGGCAACAACAACAACAACAACAACAAGTAGTAGTAGAAGAAGAAGGCAAAGCATAGGCAAAACATGAGTGGAAAAAAGATAAACAAACAACGTCTAGGCCATGCCCAGCTGCTGCTAACAAGCTCGACTAATAAACTCTGACTGCAGTCATGAGTTGCATTTGTTGTTGTTGTTTGCTCTTTGTTGCCTTCTTGTTTTTTTCACTAGCTAGTGAAATTTATGCCACACGTGCATTGGGTCACAGCTACAAGCGACGCTGACCACACGGGCCATCAACTCAATGGGCCAACAACAACAAAGAAGTCAGCAGCCAGCCAATTTGATTGGCAGCAACTTACACACAGAGAGAGAGAAAGATAGAATGATAGAGGGAGAACGAAGGAGAAACAATATACGCTACTAAATACAAAATTCATTTCCTTATGTACATAATACAAGCAACAATGTTGCACTCGACCGCTACTGACGGCTTAATACTCGTTCACTCGTTCAACAACAGTTCAGAATCCGTTTTTGACTAGTCTCAAGTGAGGCTCTGCCTTAGCTCAGCTTCAGCTCATCAACTTTGCAAGATATTCTGTTCGTATTTCTATAATGCAACGAATAGTGCACAAAACCTATATACTCCTTTCACTTCGCAAGCGCGTATATATCAAATTTACAGAGAACTAGAACTAGAATTTTTTAATATAATAGCTTTTTTAAATGCTGCCACGAACCGCTCGTTAAACACCAATAATTGTTGGCTGAATATGAATTGGCAATGATATTACGTATACGTATTTATTTCATAAATAATTAAATATTATCAGATTCATTCATATGAAGTACTGATTGATTGACTGCTTGATGACGGCTCTTTCGCAGCTTACTTTTTAAGCTTGGCCTAGAGCAGACTTTGTTCAATTTCATGCATAAAAGTGGACAGCGCGTGGATTTAATAATTTCCAGTTGCCTTTCATCCAGTCAACTAAAATGTTTACAACATTTATAGCTAGTTTTACATTAACTTAACATATTATCTTTACTCGGAAGTTAAGTTAAAACTTAGCTAAAGATATTGCAATTAAAGATCTTTTATCTGAAGTTCTTTGAACTGAAGATATTTCAATGCAAGATCTTTTAACTGAATATCTTTCAAGTGAAGATTTTTAAACTAAAGATCTTCCTATAACTCTTAACGTGCCATTCCCTTTCCACTTTCTGCTAGGTTTCATTCTGCAACATTTAATGCTTTTTCCAGATAGTGCGCATTTACTCCACATAATATTTCCTACGTAAAACTCTCCGTTCAAAATCTAAAAAGTGTTCACTGAAACTGAAAACGAAACAAATCGTTGACTGGGCCTAAAGAAAAAATGTTGAATTCAATTTCCGGCAGTTGCCAATTCTCCGGAATTGAATTGGCAATGCCCACTCATACACTCCCATATTTATATGTATGTATGCATGCATATGCATGTTTTAAATACTCATCAATTTTCAATTGCGATTTCACAAGCTGCTGTAAATGGTTTTTCACGCAATTGGAACTGCTTAGCTGATGACTATTTCAAGTAATTGGGGTATTCAATAATATTACGTATACGCTACAAGCAAATAGAGGCGCAACGCATAAAGAGGGCGATAGGAGTATGTATGCATGTATGATAGATACAACACTCAATCGTTGGCGATTGTAAATTATTAATAGCGATTTATAAGTTTTGTTTTAAAATGTAACTGCAATAACTGAACGATAGGCACTTCACTTTGTTACGCATTAAAACAATCTATTACTGTCAATATTTGTATAGATACCCTGTAACTAAAGGCCATGTTCGAACTGACAAAATGAAAAGCGATCCTCGAAAGTTCGACTTTATATGGTAATAGTACATAGTAGTACTTTTCTCTACTAATAAACTATACTATATATACTATTCCATAAGTATAGATTGTTATTAGATCATTAACTATATACATCGGTAATCGAACTGCTTTTACAGGGTACTGCCCAGTTGATATTTGTATTTGACACAAAGAAATCCGTTCGATTGCATTCAGTTTGTTTCTGCACGGCGTCAAGGTCACGGCTACGATAGTGTGCAAGAGCGAGAAGCAGAGAGGAAATGTGAGCGAGCGAACGAGAATGCATGGCAAGTACAGTAATCGAGACAACGTCGACGGCGCCGCCTATCACACTACACTACCGTTACAATGTTGCGCATTCAAAACAAATAACCAGACCGACGAGAACAATCGAACGAAGCACCGAATGAAAGATAGAGAGAGAGAGAGAGAGCGAGCCAGAGTATAAGCAACAGGCAGCGCCATTGTGAAACGGGACGCTGGCTGTAAGGGCGGTGGGTTGAGTAACTGCAAATGCAACATGTTAAATAAACAAATGCCTATTACACACAGCTATACGCAAGGGTATATGTATACACACACAGATGTATGTATGTATTTATGGGAACATTGATAGAGACCGTACTCACAATCAGCTACAAAGTTGGCGCGTCGAGTGGCGTCAAGACCTTGCACTTCCTCGTCTGACCATTTGGTCTGGGCCCATTGAAAACAAAGTGAACGTCTCAAGGGCAACACCTAGAGCGCCACGCCCTTAACACCCCTCTTTCTCTCTCTCTCTCTTTCCCTCTTTCCTTAACTCTATTTAACAATAGTTTACCGTTTACATTTTCATATTGGAAGCCCAATCGCTGTCAGCCTTTTCTGTACACACCCTGTGTTTGGTTTGTTGGCACAGGGCATACGCTTTGTAATGTTTTGGCTAGGGTATTACTTCAAGTGTAACTTGTTAATTGATATTTGCGCTTAATTTTGCAACAATGTTGCATTTGGCAGCCATTTGTATATGAGCGAGTATATGTATATACGTTCGCAATCTCTATATCGAGGATACCCTGCGCCATAAGACCTGAGTGTGGACACTATTTGGTTTAATAATGCGTTTATCATATATCGTTTGTTTAGATTGCGCTTTGTTTATACAGTCATGGAAATGCATTAGTCCTATCCATTTGAGAATTTGATTCGTTTTGCAATATTGTCTGCAGGTTTTATTTATTTGTATTTGGCATTGGATGGCGAGCCTTTTATTAACGACTAAGACTCGATTCTTCTTGAGTTATATATAGAATTTAATTTACTTCGAAACTTAAAAGATAATTAGCAATTATGTTATGATACTTATACAAAAATGTATACCCAGCAGTATGCATAGCTGAAAGCACAGGGTAATGGAAAACATTCAGCTGCAGCAGGCACAAGCATGTATGTGTGTGTGTGAGTGAGTGCTTGTGCTTATGCTTCTGTGTGTGTAAATATATTCGTTACATAGTTGGATACATAGTTTTTGCGCCTTTTCAATTTAGCATGTGCTTGATATTGTTGTTTGCGTTGTTGGTTGTTGCTGTTGTTGTTGGTTGCTGCTGCTGGTGCTGCTGTTGTTGTTGTTGTTGTTGCCACTGCTGCTGCTTCTTTCATTTCGCACTCAACGCTTTGTGCGCCTATTGCGAACTTGCATTATTATTTTTCTTTCTTTTTCAATTGCGTTTTAAAATAAATTACATCAGTGGACGGGGATGGCAATAGTAACAACAACACCAACAGCTATTACGGCAGCCATTACTAATCGAACACAAAGTGCTCATATTCCCATATGAGTTATTCATACTTAGATTGGGAGCCGAAAAGGCGCAGAGTAAGCAATGCTCAAGAGAGCGATTGCCTCAGAGAGCGATTGTCCCAGAGAGCGAGAGAGAGTGAGAGAGTGAGAACAAGCTCAACTGATCGCTTAGCAGGTTAAACTGTGCTTGCGCGGTGTGGGTGTTAATTGCGGCAAAAGGAAGTTCACGCCATGTTCGGCTTAACGCTTGGATCGCTGACGCTAACAGCGACAGCGACAGCGACGGCAAAAGCTACGGCGACAACGACGTCAGCTGCATTGTCGAGGCCCATTTCAGCTGATTATTATTGACAGCTATTGAGCTGTTTGTCATTCTAACATTCCGCTGCAGTAGCGTTAAGTCATGTCTGCCTTTCCCTGCGTGTGTGTGTGTGTGTGTGTGTGTGATTAGACTGCCGTGTCATGTCACTAAATGTGTGTTTTTGTATGTATGTATAGGTATGTACATAAACAAACAATTACATTAGCTATGTCTGTCTGTTAGCAGTGCGCTTTACCCCACTCTACGCCCCCATCCCACGAAATTTTTTATTGCGTTTCATATCTATTTATTTAAGTGTATTGCAAATGGTACATTATTCACTAGCTAATCCCTGCATTTCCGGCTGTCTCCATTTTGCAGCGGACGTGAGGCACGCAACCGAGCGGAAAAGAATCGAAGGGACAAGCTAAATGGCTCCATACAGGAGCTGTCCACTATGGTGGCGCATGTGGCAGAGTCACCGCGACGTGTCGACAAGACGGCTGTGCTACGTTTCGCCGCGCACGGACTCCGCCTTAAATACGGTAAGTGCACTATGTATATATACCTAGCTATACATATATACACACATATACATATAAATATATAGTAAATGAACACGCACTGCAGCTGCAGCTCAGTTTTGTGTAACGCACAGTCAATTCTCTTGTTCTTAACGGACTGGCAAATTAAATTCGCCTGTCTTGCTGGCTGCTAGTCCCGTTAAGCAATTCAAAAGTTGCCTAACTGAACTAGCAGATTGCTTGTGCCTTAAGTGCTGCCAGACTGCCGAAAAAACCATTAAACTTACAATAGACAAATATAAATTTAAAATACATACATAATAATTTTTATTTTTTTTTTTTGTTTTTGTGATTAGTTTTTGGCAAAACGCTGCATCAACAGCGGCCGCAGGTGACCGACACGCTAATGGGCATGCTGGATAGCTTCTTTCTCACGCTCACCTGCCATGGCCAAATAGTGTTAATATCGTCTAGTATCGAACAGCATTTGGGACATTGCCAGACGGATCTGTATGGCCAAAGCATACTGCAGATAACACACCCCGAGGACCACGAAATGCTCAAGCAGCAGCTCATACCCACAGAGCTCGAGAATCTCTTCGATGCGCACGCGGAGCCAACGGACGCCGACGGTGAGCCAAGACAGCGGAGCAAGTCCGAGGAGGATTACATAGATCGCAAGTTGCGCGATGATCGACGCAGCTTTCGAGTGCGGTAAGCTCTTTTTAACTGATTAACGGATAAGTCTAAAGAATTGCAGTCAGCTTCAAACATACCTACTACTTTTTATCCCATGGGCAGCACTGTAAATTATATAAAACCTATGGCTTATGCTATAATAAAAAGGTTAAATCTAACCAAATTGGCAGCACAAGCAATGCTATTTCGTTGGGTCTTTCGTGATCCATTTGCAATTTCCTTTTAATTTCATCTTATTTTTATCTGTTTTGCGTTTCACACAGTATGGCGCGCGCTGGCCCCCGCTCAGAACCGACCGCCTATGAGGTGGTGAAAATCGACGGCTGCTTCCGGCGGAGCGACGAGGCGCCACGCGGCGTACGCTCCAATACGTTCAGCTCCAGCCTGCAGTTAATAAGACGCACGCGTGGCCGTGACGATGCCATACCGCTACACACAATTAGCGGCAATGATATTGTAAGTGCCCAGACTTTCTCTAAATAGACAGATAGTTATGTGAATATATATATGTACATACATATGTATACATTTATTTATACAACAATAAGTTCGACTGAACGGGTCATTAAAATGAACTACTGAACTATTGCAGTGTTCTATGAAATCAGTTGCTCTTTGTGCAGTTATTCAAACGGGCGTGAATGAGACGTTTTGTTCAATCGCACTTTAACGAAACGTAGTAGTTCAGCAATTGACAAATGAGCGAAAAACTGATCACAACGAATTGTTCATGAGCGAATCTGACTTGCATGTATCAATAATTGTTCTATGAACGCTGCAGTTAAATCGGTTATGAACGTTACTATTTGCTCAGCTAGCTACTGAAACGGTTATGAATGAGACGTTTTGCTCAACTGTTTGTGAACAGTTGTGCAGCTGTTGATCAGAGTTAAGTTCTATAGAACTGTTTAATGTGCAATTAGTTCTATTGAGCTATTCAGTTACTGTTTGGAAACGATTAAACTTCAGCTGCATAGCTGACCAATACGAGTCGCTCATAAGCAAATTAACTAAATCAGCAATGGACCTGATTTAACAGATGCAAATAGAGCTATATATGTATATGTATACTTATTTTCTGCAGGTGCTGACAGCTTGTGCGCGAATTATAAGGCCACCAAAGATCGTTAATCGTTTGTTTGATGCGAACACTCTGGAGTATCGTACACGGCATTTGATCGATGGCCGCATTATAGATTGCGATCAAAGGATCGGCATCGTGGCCGGGTATATGACGGATGAGGTGCGCAACCTGAATCCCTTCACCTTTATGCACAACGACGATGTTCGTTGGGTGATTGTTGCCCTACGCCAAAGTGAGTCAGCGACTGTGCATGGGCGACTGTTTAGACTAATTAGCAATTTCTTGCAGTGTACGACTGCAACAGCTCGTATGGCGAGTCAACGTATCGGCTCTTCACACGCAACGGCAACATTATTTATCTTCAATCCAAAGGATATCTGGAGATTGACAAAGAGACCAACAAAGTGCATTCGTTTGTCTGCGTCAACACGCTGTTGGACGATGAGGAGGGCAAGCGACGTGTGCAGGAGATGAAGAAGAAATTCTCAGTAATCATCAATACACAAATTCCACAGTCGACGGTCGATGTGCCCGCATCCGAGCACCCGGCTCAGCTGGAGAAGGCGGTGCTCTGTCTTATACAGAATTTACAAAGCAGCGGAACGGAACATGACAGCGAGCAGTTAGACGCAGATGATGATGACGACGATGCTAATGATGATGGCGACGAGGACGACGGCGACGATGTCGAAGATGGCCTGGCTGCCTTAAGCTATCCAGAATCACAGCAGCACTCGCTTCCCCATCATCATCAACGGCATGGGCATTCACACCATAACTTCCTTGATGCTAATTCCATGTCGCAGGCACGCCTGAGTGCTGGCAATAGCATGGGCAGCTCAAAGACACCTCCACTGGCATTGGTGCCGCCTGAGACGGCGTCGGTGAAGTCCTCAATATCGAAAAGTGTCAGCGTGGTCAATGTAACAGCTGCCAAGCATTTGCGTGGCCTCCATGCCACAACGACTGTCAAGTCGCCCAGCTCCAAGTCCGGATCCGCGTCGACGCTGCTCGACAGCTGCAGTTGCTTGGGTGAAGGCGACTGTGACTACTGCCAGAGTCCGCCCACTCCCGAAACGGTCATCAGCAGCACATCCGTTTCTTTAAAGCGCAGCAGCAGCAGCGTAGCGGGACCAACAGATGCCCAGGAGACGGATATAAGGCAGGCCAAGCGACGCTTCATGCCAAGCACAGGTGAGCACGGCACAGTGTTGAATTGTTATATATGGCAAGTGTCCAATAATAAGACTAAAATGTAAAATTTATTGATTTCAATAGACATTGAGCACGTGCTGAGCAATTCGCTGGAGCAGATCGAACGGAACCTGCATCAGCAGCTGAATGTGGCGGCCCAGCTGCGGGATCAGAGCAATCGATACGAGCTGCCGCATGCCAACCAGCGCATCGACGAGATCCTGGTAAGTTGATGCCACACAATCAAAGCCGAAACGAACCGCTAGCTAAAGTCTGTTCTCGTGTCGCCACAGGAGGAGCATCAGAAGCAGAGAAAGCTCTATGTGAACATCAAGAGCGAATACGAAGAGCAGCTGCAGAGCAAGGCGAATGCAACGAAAACGGAATCCGATAGCCAGGGCAGCACCAGCAGCGGCATACCCTAAACGGGGCCATATATACCTATAGATATACCTATATTTATATATATATATACATAAATATATATATATATACAAATTGAGGGTTTCAGCTGATGTGATAAGCAGCAAGTTGAAGCTTGACTCAAATGCAAATGAAACTTTAGTCGAGCTACTCTTACAAATGTTACAAACTAGCTAGAAGAAAACGCTTTCTTCGGCCCACCGAAGCTTGAATACCCTTGTAGACAAATGATAGAGTACTTTGTGGTTCTTTGGCTTCCATATAGTTGTCAGATTTTGAGACGGTTTCGTTGACTTTTGAACCGATTTCTGAATCAACTTGGAGCCAAAGACCGATTGAATCCATTCAATGTTGTATCGAGTTAGCTGATCATATTGATCAGGAATATATATATTCTTATGTATATATTTGTAGGCTATTTGACAAACTCTACAAGGGTAAGACAAAGGCACATTAATGTACTTCAAATTGCGAACACAAACCTATTTACAAACAGAATATATATATATATATATATATATATATATATATATATATATATATATATATGTATATATATATATATATATATATATATGTATATATATATATATATATATATATATATATATATATAGTTATAAGTGGAATCGAACTAATGAGTGAGCATGCAACAAAAACCTATTTTAGAAAAGAAAAGAGTCCTGGACTGGGTTGATTTCTTCTTACTTTTTGTTTCTTCTTATTTTTTCTTGATAACTTTAATAACTTTTTTATATAACTGTTTTTTTTTTAATGTAATTTGTATATGTAGGCTGCACTATATAAATATATATATATATATATATATTTATATATATATATATATATATTTATATATATATATATATATTTATATATATATATATATATATATAAATGTATATGTATACACATAAGAAAATAGTAAAATATATAGTGCAAGGAAGTGTGTTAATTTAAAGTAAATTTATAGTCACACACACAGAATACAATTATTAGCTATAAAATGATATAAATAACTAAATATATATATATATATATATATATATATATATATATATCTATATATACTTTTGCCATGGCATTGGCAAACTACAAACTAAACGTGATACAAGACTGTTACCAATTAATGTTAGCATTAGCATACTATAACTATGTGTGTATATACATATGTATAAATATATACGTCTATATATATATATATAAATATGTATATATACATAGAGATAATATTACTTAAATTGTTCTAATTCAAATGGCATAGTTAAATGAAAATCTACGTTTTACCAACCATATATACTACTTATATATATACATATAAATATATGCATAAATGTTTTAAATGTTTTATACTCTACAATAGAGAGCGAGAGCGAGAACTAGAGAGAGAGAGAGAGAAAGAAAGAGAGAGAGAGATGGAGATAGCACGGTAGATAGCATCTCTATTTCAATCTTAAACCTCAAACAAAAAAAAAACACAAAAAAAAAACAAACTAAATAAAAAAAAAGTTACAGTTTTTGTTATGTGCATAGGTGAATAAATGTTTTAGTCTTACACTGTGAAAATGTTTGGAGCGCAAACTGAATTCAATAACGGTTTTTTGTTCATATATAACCTCAATTGCTGTTGTTGTTGTTAAGCTGGGCAACAATGAAACAAGCGCCAAGTACAATTTACAACAATATATATATATATATATATATATATATATATATATATATATATATGTATATATATATATAACTATGCTATACACATATATAGAAAATAAGTAAACACAATTGTTAAATGTTTGTTATGCATTTGTTTTATAACATTTTTTGCTTTTCGTTTTTATTTAGTCTTTTTTTTGGAATTCAATTTACTATTAGACTAAATAAATAGTGAAATAAACTTGTGTACCTATATATAAATTTATAAATGTATATATATATATATACATACATAATACAATGCTCGTGTGCATTATAATTTATAGCTAAGTAGATCCATTAAATGTTACGGACACGTGTGAACACTTTTAGGGCAAAGCAAGTTAACTATCTACAAAATGGTAAATACTTGTGTTTATTAAACGCCACAAAAAAATACAAAAAACGACAAAACAAAGAAATTAATAAATAATAACACAAAAAATACAATTTTGCTTATGCATTAACAAATTATACAAAAATCTTAAATATGCAGCGAACTAGTTTTTTTTTGCAGAGTGCACAAAAACTGTGCCCGGGTCCAGTTTCGTTTATTTTAATTTGGCCATGCTATGAGTGCTTCGTATTAAACTGTTCGTGGGAACAGCTTAGTATTATTTTGGAATATTAACTGCAGCTGACAGTGCATTTGCACATCAATTATAGTTGCATTTTTTAATAATTAATTGCTAATATTAATGAAAACTTTAATAAAATCGTGTTTGGCAATAGTCTTACTGCAGCAGTAAGATATATGTGAGGGAGTGTAATGTAATCTGTGCCTGGGAACAGATTGGCTTATTTTGAATGTAGCTGGCAATGCCTTAGTGCACATCAATTAATTGATCGTTGCAACAATTATCGATAATAGCGAAAACAACTTATCGCTGCAACGTACTGAATTTAAAATTATATTTATATTGATTTTTAGCTAAAATATTACTTAAGCACGCATTCTTAGGCCAAGATTAACGCCCGTGGCAGAACGCAAAACTATTTTGATTGACGGCTTCACGTCGACGCCCAACGGCAACAGCTCAAAATGTTGTAGCATTTTGATCAAAATTGTCTTCAGTTCGAGCAGCGCAAAACGCTGGCCAATGCAGTTGCGCAGACCTGCACTGAAGGGTATATAGCTGGCAGCGAATTTGCCTGATCCAGCATCGGTCATCTTATTGTCCATATGCCTTTCTGGCCAGAAGCGCAAAGGCTCAACGTACAGCTGCGCATCCCGCTGCAGTTGCCAAAGCAGTATAAGGACATTCGTGCCAGCTGGCACCCGTGCCGCACCAGTTTTGTCCGTACCATCTGCCGTGAGACAGCATGTGAATGCAAGTTGAAATATATTGAAACACGTTTACCAACCTAACGGCAAATCCCTTTCCAGCAGACGACCCACAGCTGGTATGGGCGGAAACAGACGCAGAGACTCCTTGATTACGCAGTGCAAATAGGGCAGCTCGGCGAAATCAGCATGGACAACAGACCGATCCACATCCTTGCCATAATGTGAGTGAAGCTCCTCGTACAAACGCTGCTGCACTGCCGCATGCCGCGACAACAGATACAGGCAAAAGGATGCCGCGGATGTGGTAGTATCGTGGCCCGCAAAGATGAACGTGCTCACTTCGTCGCGTATCTGGGCATCCGTGAGTGGTGCGCCATCCAGGCGTGCCTGCAACAGTGTATCCAGCAGAGCAGTCCGTTGCTCTTCCGTGTGCAACAATTGGCAACGTCGCTTGATGATGTTATCGGTGAAGTCGTGCAAGCACTTAATGCCCATCCACTGCTTGCGGTAGCCACTGGGCCAGAGCAAGCGGAAAAACAGAGGCGGCAACAAATGCGGCCGCATGAAACGCGTCGCCAAAATGTTGGTCACGCTGCAGCCACGAAACAGAAATAAGTATTTGACACTGCAAAATTTGATATATTGATTAATGCTGCTTACTCCTTGACAGCCTGCACCACTGGCGCCTCAACATTCTCTTGGGCATCCAGACTGACGCCCATGGCTGCCTCGCTGATAATGTCCAAGGCGGTCAGACACATATAGGGATAAATGTTAAAAGCTTGAGCGTCGTCGGTGTCCGTCGCGGCCAGTGGCTTTAGCTTGCTGACTAGAACATTGCACTGCCTGTCAAAGATCTTGACATATTGCTCCAAAATGTTGAAGTGAAACGAGGGCGTTATTATCTTGCGCATGGCATGCCAATGCTCGCCCCGACTGAGTAGCAAACCATTGCCCAGCCAGCCATCAAGGGCGAAATAGACGATGCTCTTGCGCAGATGCTGCTTGCTTAGGAGCAAAGCATCCACATGCTTCGGATCTGCGGTTACCAGCACCATGCGTCCAAAGGTGGTGGCCACAAAGCTGCGTCCGTAACGCTTCACATACTCCGCAAACTTCTCATGAAGATCTAATTAGGATTAAGGACTACAATTACGACAAGACCACATCATCAGTCAGCTTGATACTCACTGTCCGGCTGGAAGTCGCGCATTTGCCAGACGCCTCCGATGATAGGTATTTGGGACACATTTGGCGCCACATGCTGCAGCAGCTGACGGTGCCTGTGCTCCTTCTTTAACAGCTGTAGCAGAAAACGCAGACAAACAACTACCAAAGCAAACGACAACAATCCGAGCAACATATTTGTATACTATAAAAAAAGGGATCGGGATTATATTAACTATATATATGTATAGCTACAATTAAATATTATAGACTACTTGATATATTAAACTATCTTTATTCAATGTATATTTTTTATTTATATACTATACTATACTAATTTGAAAATAAAAATATATTATATAAATATATTTTTCTTAAAAAGAAATACAATAAAATATTAAACAGGCCGTCAGTTACAAAAACGGTTTTAATATTTCAAAAACTTATCACTTTCCAACACTAGTCATCTAACCGCACTCCAGTAGTAATTGACTTTAGAATGAAACTTCGCAGTTATCTATGTGTGAGTGCATTGGCAAGTGGATGCTTTGATTGCAACTTCAAGTTGTATTATTGTTTATTGAATTTTGTCAACTGTAGTTAAGCAATGTAAATGACTATTTAAAAAGCCCGCACTTACCATTTTAACAAGCCTCAGTCGAATGTAAATCAAAAGTTGTATACATGCTTTATTAGTAGACTTGTGATTGGCTGTGCGAAATATAATTATACTTAATCACGAAATCCATATGTTTACGAGCTGTTTTATAACAATGCAGGAGTATTTACTCTTTTAGTCGACAATGTAATGCCCTGTAAGCTATCAGCTTGCTTCGATTGTTATAATTATCGATATGTAAGCAAAGAAATGAAACAAATAACAGAAAAATTGATTAGCATAAATATTGATTGCGTCAACGATATATCTGCAAGCTCATCATATAACAATAACAATTGGTGCTAATTAAGCCATAACTTAAAACTAACATCGATATTTAATGAATTCGATAGGCATACAAGATAAAATAGCTAATTGGAAATATAGATATATGGTCACTCTGCATATGGTATCTATTCATATTAAAAATTCGTTTTATTTTCCATAGTAAAGGCCAGAAGACATTAAAACGAATATATTATGAGAAAACTTTCTTTGTACATAAATTTCAAATACCCCATTATGTAAGCGAAATCAGCGAGGGTATGCACGTTGAATGTCTGAGATAGCAATAATCAGCAGTGAGAGCAATAATAACAGATGTTTATCGAACCAGCAGGCGAAAACAAAAACCAAAATAAGAGTATAAATAAATTGACATTTAAAATTTATCACCAACTTGAATACACTGCATGCACGATTAACTGCTGTAGAGTTATCCGTGCCGAGTACTTCGCTTAACTCAGGCAAAAGGAAGGCTGTGTCGTGGCCTTCGAACATCAATGTATCCACCTCTACGCGTATATCTTTAATGCTTAGTGGCGCCCCGCTTACCAGGGACTACAGCAGCTCACCAAGATGACTCTATACGTCCAATTCGTCGTGTATAGTTTCCTCTGTCTTTAGCTTCTGGGCCATTTGCTGCCGCTGAGTCTTGACAAGTGCCTCAAGTCGCTGCTTAATGGTAGTCTTGTATTCAACTTGTCCGGCTTCTTGGACTGCGCAATATGCCTTCCAAATGCCGCGGATCGGCGAAGAAGATGACCAAATGTGATGCAGGCAAGAATAGAATATCCGCAGATTCAGGACTCCATTGGTGCCGCGATGGATCAGTCTTTAAGTTCTATCTGTATTTTTGCATTTTGGATGAATTTTATATTTAAGAGAATTATTAGAGACTAAAGCCAAGCCCAGCTATGGTATATATGTATATATATGTACAGTTAAAGTAGATATATGGGTAAGACTACAGTTAATCAATTTCCAGCGTCTTGAGGCTGTGCGTCATCGTGTTGCAAGCGTTGTTGTTGTTGCTGCTGCTGCTCTTTTTGCATTTGTTTATTTTCCAATTGGAGGACTCCATCAAATATTCACTGATAAGGGAAAAATTGCATCAGACCAAGTGTATAAGTTCAGGTGCAAGTTAGCCTTACCGCTGCTGTTCGAGCAAGTGCATCCAGTGCTGCTTCAACTGCGACATTTTGCCTGCCTCTCCGCCGTACTCCTCCGGCAGCATGGAGCGTGGAAAGTGCTTGAAGGGCGTATCCGCACCGGGCAAATGGAAATGGATCAGCTTGAAGACCTCGCTCTTGATGAACGGCTTGACCACGGTCAGCACCTTGTCCAAATATGACGGACAGTTGAGCACATGTATCTCCTTGAGTCGCACCGGATGCGCCTCCTGTACGAATTTCATGTAGACCCGCAGCGAGCTGAGCACCGTCTTGGTCAGATGCCGCAGCGAGTATCCGGCCATGTCAAAGATGGGTATCTCGCCGTCGGATAGACGGCCGTCTGTCTCCGTTGCGAAGCGACAATCGGCGACCATAAAGAAGACCTTGATGCTGGCTGTAAAGTTGAACTACCAATGATATGTGGCAAGCGGCATGTGGCATGCAACAAGTTTACAGTTTGAATGGAATTGATTTAGTATAGCCGCTGCTTACCTTGTCCGCATCGTGGTCAATCAGGCGATAAAATAACAGCTTGTTGTTCTCCGGCGTCAGCCCGGGCAGCGGCACCAGATCTCTGCAAGCAGCCCATAAACCACAATTAGCTTTGCTTAGACATTGCCACAAAGTGGCAAACCGGTTGCAACGGCTCCGTCTGCTAGAGATGGGCGCAGCTAGTGAACAGCTTGGGATGTCGGTGCATCAATCATGGCACGAGGGGCAAGCTGACTACGTGACACGGCACGACACGAATCACACGATGCTTGTGAACGATGATTTATTTGAAATTTACTTCGTGTTTTTCGTCTCGTGTCTTGATTGAATGCAGGCGACACGCGCCCATCTCTAGCATTGGCGGCCATGCACTCACGCGACTTGCAACAGCTGCTGGGAGCTGGCATCCAACGGATCGCGTTCGATGAAGATTTGCGGATGCTTGTTGCGCATGGCGTAGTTCAGCTGGAGCAGACGCTGGGCGGCAGCCACATCGCCGCGCGTCGTGTGCAGAAAGCGACGCAGCAATGTGGACGCTAATCAATATTACGTGGTAATTGCAGTTGCCACAAATGGCCGGGCGGGAGAGAGAGAGAGAGAGAGAAGAAAAGGTGCAACTCAGTTGTGGTTAATGTGGTCGCCAGCGAGTTATGCAACTGGCTTTGTGCTGCAATTCAAGTTATTAAGTTAGCCTACAAAAGGAGTGATCTAGTCGGCAGTCACCGACTAGCATATACCCTGTAAACGTTCAAACTCTACAGGAATTTACTCTTACCCAATTTGAATTTGTGAGTTTGAAGCCTCTTGTCGTTAGGCTAAGCATGTTCGATATATATATATATATATATATATATATATATATATATATATATATATATATATATATATATATATATATATATATATATATATATATATATATATATATATATATATATATATATATGTATATATATTCTTTTACTGAAATTCAACTTGATTTATCTTCATGCTAACTTTGCTAATTTTTCGAACTGCCCTCGTATGTGCCTTCTACACACATCAACCCACAAAGCATACAGGTTATAAGATATCTGATCACAATGATAGCCCAAGTCCGAGGCACGACCCGTCGTTGAACTGGCCAAGTGCTAAGCACAAATACCATCTGGACAGAGGGTTTACGTAATGCTAGGCAATCAAAAACTTAAATGTGATTATGTGTTCATTATGGCTAGCGACTTGAGTCTAGATAAGCACGGTGAGTGACTCACACAGAATGGACCTTCGGTTTGATGGGAATTACCAGAGACAAAAGAACTTTTAAGCTCAACTTTTCGATATTAGTTGGAATTGTTCAAAACATTATTATTATAATGGCTGCTTTTAATGGCAGTCAGTTTTGATATCAAGCAAGAAGTTAAGTATTCTAAGCAACAATTTTTGATTTAATAGATAATACTTTAAGGATTGGCCCTAGGTAAGACTTTATATGAATAGGATAATATGAATTTCTGAGCCATAAAATAGATCACAGCTCTTTCGAAGTGTGCCTAAATAAGCTAATTAATTGCGGAATTATCATAGATGGAGGTCAACAGGTTCCTAAAACCCATTCTAAAATTCTTTGAATCTTGTCCACTTAGCGCTCAATTAAAAACGTTGCTTCCTTTATTGATACAAGCTGAGCTTTAAGTTGTTGCGGAACTCGAAGTACTTGGCAATGTAAACATATAATTAAATGTGTTTTTTTGTTTTCCACTTTGCACTTCATTAAAAGTTGTTTTTTTCCCTTATCGATAATCAAATATTACTCAACTGCAAACTGACCTTTGAGTAGATACCAATTAGAAATAGCTTTTGTTAAAGATAGATATTCAATTGTTCTTGAGATTCTTTGGAAAATATATTTTAAGGAATATTTTCTATAGTTCCATTCACTAATTAAATGAGTCGTAACTCCGCTTAAAGTTCATTTCGGAATTGGCCGTTAAGTTCAAGCTATCAATTAACTCTATAATTTTGGATCCTGATCTTAGTTTATGTTCCCTTTAGATCGTTAATTTTTCCTTTACATACAAATATTTTGCGGCAGCTGCGGATGTGCCTTAATCAAATCTTGAAGTTCGGCCACACGCTGCGCCATCAGCTGTTCGTTGTCCTTTATGTGCACCATTCCAACACTGGTTCAAAAGAACAACAAAGTGGCACTTTAATTAATGAGCTCCAAGCGAGAGAATATAAAAACCGCGTCTATGCGCCGCTAATTCGCGACTGCAACTGATTTGTGTGTGAAGTTTTTCGGGCGACGCTGCTGCCGCTGCCGCTGCCACTGTCGCTGCCAATGCTGTTCGCAAAGTAAAAACAAAAACAGAAACAAAGCATCGGTGGGGAGGAGGGGAATGTACATAGCATGTAAGTTTAGGTTAAGGCATTGCACTCGCCATACGACCCAAGATCTACACGCTGTCTCTGTCTCGTTCTCTCCTTGCCTGCCAGCACAATTGCATGTGCGCATGCGTTTCTATGTGTGTGTATGAGAGATTGACGCAGCGGGATTACAGACGGCTTGGCTTTTCATGCGAATTTTTTTTGGTGTTTGGTCCGTTGTGCTATTTACGTAACCCAATTGCAATTGTTTCATGTGCTGAAAGGTCGATTGTGTGTGCGAGTGAGAGAGTGTGTGTTCTATGAAGCGTTCATGTATGTGTGTCCAGCGATTGTCTACAACTTCTTTTAATAACGTTGCTATGTTAAATCTGTGCACGTTTTTAATACCCTATAAAGTCGACTGCGTAGGGTATGTTCAGCGCGTCAACATAATACTAAAAAGCTAAAAACTGTGGCAGACAGATTTGATGCTGTCATTTGTGAACGAAAATGATTCAAATTAAATCATAGATATATTAATCATATCGAAGTAGAGGGTATGTGCTTGTGAGTTTAGTTTATTTGTTTATTTTTTAGTTTTCGGCGTTTTTATCGCGACATTGGCAAACAATTTTCGTATGCGCTCCACTTGCTATGCCCAACATTGCTGCCCCCTGCTGTCTCGCTTCCACTCCCTTCTTTTGCCATCCCCGTTGCCGCCTCGTCGGCTATACGTGTTTCGCAAGCTAAACTGGGCGACACGACAGCAACAATAACAATAACAACACCACAGACATGTATTAAAATGAAAAAGGTGAAAAATTAAGAAGCAGCACATCGACAACACCAAAACAACAAATGAAACAGAAACAGAAACAATGATAACCCACAGTCGAAAGCGACACTTTTGCAGAATGCCTAATGAAAACAAAACCCACAACAGTTTTACAGCGTCAACAACGAGAACAGTTATTTAGGCGAATGCAGATGAGTGAATGCCCTACAGTCTGAAACATAAACCATGCTGTATAACAGTAAATTATTATTACTATGGCTTTAATATCTATTCTGCTTATAATTGTTCTTATAAATGTAAGAGCAAGAGTTAATCCAGCTTAGCTAAGTTCAATAAAATAGCTGAGCTACTAATATTGCAAGGGTATTCGAAGCGCTCTGAATTGAAGCTATGAAGTTGCTTGTGGCATTTCCATACTTTTAGCGTACTCGTATATTTAATGCAGTCATAAACCAGGCGCACGCAGCTTTAAGACAGTAACAATAACAACAACAACTACAAAAGACCCCGCATATGACACCAGTTAAATATGTCTGTTGTTTTTATTGAAAACGGTTTGACCTTGGCCGACAACAAATACGCACACGCACACACATACTCGAATTTTGTAACTTGAGAAAATTCGCGTTTGCTAAGACCAAAAAGTGCGCCAAAACCAAAGAAACAAGCTCCACTGCATGCCACAAGTCTTAAGTCAAACAAGAGAGTGGAAAAACACGTAATTTTTAGAATCAGTAGCAAAAGTCAAGTAATTGTTTGTTTTACAACCTGTTATCTCAACTGACCAATTGAATGAATCTCTAATGCGCCTGGAACACCTAAAAAAACATTGTATTGTACATTTTTCTTTATAAATTTAGGAAAAGTGCCTCCGTCATTATCAATCTGCAATTTCGGAATTTTTTGATGACAATTGCAGGTTAAGTTTTTTTTTGCCTTTTAATGCATATGTCCATATATAAATATATATTAGTGTGCGATTCTGTAGTTATATATGTTTTGATTGTGCAAACCTTGCAAAATTTACCGGTGATTGTATAAACGCTGCAACTGAACGTACAACCAGCTAAATGAATGCAAATGGGAGGTACCAAAGAAAACGCATTTCATTGAATTTCTGTTTGTTTATTTATTTTACAAATCAAAGTAACAGTTAGAATCTGTTGTGCTAAATCATTTGATTTGAATTTTGATCTTCATTCAATGGTATTAAAAACATAACTCAAAGCTGGTCACATTGACAACAGATGATGTACATTTGACTTACAAGCTGAATTCTTGACATTAATAAAAGGAATCCCCGGCTAACTAACATTAAAGTACTTATTGGTGTGTAAGAAATCGTACATAAGTTAATTGTTAATAAATAAAATATATATTTTGGGCGCGCCTTTTTTTGAACGAACGTCTTATAGCAAGCAGCTTTAGTCCGTTTGGTCTATATAGTGTGTCTAACTGGCGCTGCCACTGCTCAACACTGAACAGCCGTAAACTGTCAACTGTCAAGTACGCGCCATGTTTTTGCTCACGCACGCATTACAGTAGAAAGAAGAAGCACGTGCCACAAAATTTAAGCAGGCGAATAAAAAGCAAACAAATTGCATGTGTTGTAAGCAAAATCTGCAAGAAGACACCTAATTGCAGCATTAATTAAACCCAAACGCCACCACCATCGGCCATAGGTAATTTTTAAAGGGCAGAATCATAACAAACTTTGTTTGCAAAACAGTCCGTGAAGAAGAAGTAGAATGCCGCGCTACAATAACAGCAAGCAGAGAGGGTGAAAAAACGGAAAAATTGCAACCAGTCGCAGCGACAACGGCAGCGCAGACTCTCTGCCGATAAGAGAGCGGCAATTGCTCCTCGCCAGAGACAAATTTAATTGCAAATAACCAAAAAAAACCGCGTGGTTAGCTTGTTATTATTATTATTATCATCGTTATTGTTGTTGTGGCATTTGAGTATAAGAAATAAGAGTAATACGAGAATAAACCAACATATTTGCAGAGTCCAACATTAATTTAAGTTGAAAAACGGAAACGAGTTACGCCATGGTGCCCATAGGAGCCGTTCACACCGGTCATCCCGGCGTAGTGCATCAACAACAGCAGCAGCAGCAACCAATGCCAACAGCACCCAGTGGACCAAACACGCTGCAACCTTCCGTCTCATCGACATCGACGAGTACAACATCGAACAAGAGCTCGATGTCGGTTAAGCCCAATTATACGCTCAAATTTACACTTGCCGGCCACACCAAGGCCGTCTCCGCCGTAAAGTTTAGCCCAAATGGCGAATGGCTTGCCAGCTCATGTAAGTTGCTGCTTATATAAATGTAAATTTTGGTTCTAATAATTTACATGACCATTTGTGTTTTGTAGCTGCCGACAAACTCATAAAGATCTGGGGCGCTTATGACGGTAAATTTGAGAAAACCATCTCAGGCCACAAGTTAGGCATTAGTGATGTCGCGTGGTCCTCAGATTCGCGTCTGTTGGTCAGCGGCAGCGATGACAAAACGCTCAAAGTTTGGGAACTAAGCACCGGGAAGAGTCTGAAGACGCTGAAGGGCCATAGCAATTATGTCTTCTGCTGTAACTTTAATCCTCAGTCGAATTTGATTGTGTCTGGTAGCTTTGATGAAAGTGTCCGCATTTGGGATGTGCGCACAGGCAAATGCTTGAAGACGCTGCCCGCTCACTCTGATCCCGTTTCGGCAGTGCATTTCAATCGTGATGGCTCCTTAATTGTCAGCTCCAGCTACGATGGGCTCTGTCGTATTTGGGACACGGCCAGCGGACAGTGTCTGAAGACGTTGATTGATGATGACAATCCGCCCGTTAGTTTTGTCAAATTCTCGCCCAATGGCAAATACATACTGGCCGCCACCCTCGACAACACACTGAAGCTGTGGGACTATTCCAAGGGCAAATGCCTAAAGACCTATACGGGTCACAAGAATGAGAAGTATTGCATATTTGCCAATTTCTCTGTAACTGGCGGCAAGGTAAATAACGTGTTACCTTTTAAGGCAATTGTAACATTTAGTAAAAACATGTATTTATTTCTGCAGTGGATTGTCAGCGGCAGCGAGGATAACATGGTCTACATATGGAATCTGCAAAGCAAAGAGGTAGTACAAAAGCTGCAAGGACACACAGACACCGTTCTCTGCACCGCCTGCCACCCCACAGAAAATATCATTGCATCGGCCGCGTTGGAGAACGACAAGACCATTAAGCTCTGGAAGTCCGACACATAGGGTGCATACGGTGTTTTGTAACAGTAACAGCAACTCATACACAATCACACACACCAACACACATTTCTTTAATAATCTTACTTTAAAACTAATTATTTTTAATTGACCCTTTTTTTTTTTTATATAAAAAAAGTAACCTGAAAAACACGATTCAGCAAAAAGGAACATTCTAAGTTACAATTGCAACTAAATGATTGCAATTATGTATATTTAAATATTTATTAGCTAATGTATTGGCCAGTTAAAAAAAAAAAAACAAAAATCAATAAAAATTCTTCAATTTTTATACTTTTATCACAAGTGACAACTACATTTAAGTACCAATCGACACACACAGTCAACTCACACATTAGAAGAGAAACAAGTAAACTAACAAGAGCAACAAGCGTGCAAGGAATGTATATTTAAAATAAAATAATTAAAACAATTTGAGTTTTTAGTCCAGCAGTTATGAGCGGTTTTTTCACGTATTTTGATTTTATATTGAAATAGTTTGCGAGAAGCTAAAATCTTTAAGACATAAAAAACAATATACTCTTGTATATTTTTAGAAAGTATAAAAAGTTGCTTGTTGTATGATGATACCTTTAAATAAGAACAACAAAATAAATTTCATTTAGTTATTTTAAAGCAAAATTAGTTTTGTTAGTGAACACAGTCAGTGTTGATAAGGCGCAATACAACTAGCACCGATGTTGGCGGTGCGATAGAATCGATAACATTCCCGATTACATTTGCAACACTGTTCACCATCACCAATAAATAATTTGGTTTAAGTGCATTAGGCATTCATTTAATCCGTGTTTTGTGTTGTGTTTTACCCACATTTTCAATCAATATGGTAAGCGGGCACGATTGTTGATGCTATTGTTGAAGCATCAAATAATTTGTTTAATTTTTGCTTAAAATACTTGTTTTTTTTCTTTCTATATTTACAGGCAGCATACACCGAGGATCAGTTGGCTGGTGAGTATGTGTGTATGTGTGTCTGCTGTGGAATGCGTGTGTGTAAGTGGGTGTTGGTTTGGAAATGGGCGCAGAAGTTCAAAGTGCCAACTCAAAGCTTGGCCGACAGCAAAAAACAGCAAAAAAACCGCAAAGCAAGACACAAGTATTTGTGTATACGTTGTCAACATGTCTCTTTCGGACTGCGTATGCATGCTTGTGCGTGTGTATGTGTGCGTTACACATCTTCATATGCGGCGCATGAATCATTGATAAAATAAACACATAAAACGGCCAACGAAAGCAGCCATACGATCGCGTCAATGACTCACACAACGAACGCGCAAAGCAATAACGATTTACAGTTATGTCGCAGCTTGAAGGATTTGATTGACTGACAGACTAGTGGACGGGCTGTCTGCCAGGACAACGGTACAAACTGCCTCGAGCTCGTCTCAGCATCGACTGCAACAGCTGCAACTGCAGCTGCCGTCGCTTGCATTGAACAGCGCTTGAGAAATAGACAAAAAACAAAAACAAACACTCAACTTTTTTGGCCATTTCCATGTTGGCCATGTTGGCTGCCATTTACGGCGCCTTTTGTGGGTCAACACACGCCACATGGCCCTGGCCACGCCCCGCCGCCTCCAGCTCCGTTCCTCATTGGGGCTTTACTTTACGCAACACACTGTTTAAATTTTTCGCTGTTCTGATAACTTAATCAAAATCTACTCAATTGCTTGTCGCCTGGCGATAAGTTGTTGTTGCTGCTGTTGCAGTGACGTCAGCTGACCGCATTGCACGTATTGATTTACCTTAACGTCAAGCACGACGCATCGCAGCTGCTGCCGCTCGACGATTGCCTAAAATGGACAAAATTCTGTTGTTGTTTTTAATGCCATTTTTGGCCGGTTAACAACAGCAACAGCAACAGCAACAACAGAAAACAAATAAACAAATAACAAAAAATTAACGAAAACTGAAATATGGAATAACGAAGAGTAAATTCCCTAGCAGAGAGATATTCAAAAACCCTGTCAGAGTTAACCAACTGTTGCTGCGTCTGTTATAGCTCTGGCATTGTTATAGATAGAGAAGAGGATCAAGGATTTATGGTGATTTGTGGCTAATGCTGACCTAGAATCGATCCGAAACTTATGATAATCAGACTCAGCTGGAATCGATCCAGCTTCTGTATGCGTTTCGCACTTCAAGACATCCGTTAAGTACTCTCTGGCAGGGTATCAATGAGCATGGAAACAATCTCTGACGTTGCCGCTGCTGCTGCCGCTGCTGCAGCCGCATGCTGCGCAATCTGTTGCAGCAACGACTCAGTAGTAGGCTGTGCAGCCAGGCAAACAGTTGAGATACTTTATTAATTGAGTTTCAATATCAAAATATCATCATGTACTATTACACGGCACACGTGAAGCCCACTTTTACCACACTTGAAGGTTGCATATATACATCTATACATAAATTGTTATATATGTTATACAATGAATCTATCTAATCAACATTTGCTTTGCCTCTTTGCAGAGTTCCAGGAGGCGTTCAATCTGTTTGATAATCGCGGCGATGGCAAGATTCAGTTGAGCCAGGTGGGCGAGTGCCTGCGTGCATTGGGCCAAAATCCCACCGAGTCGGACGTGAAGAAGTGCACGCATCAGCTGAAACCGGATGAGCGAATCTCGTTCGAGGTCTTTCTGCCCATCTATCAGGCCATATCGAAGGCGCGCTCCGGCGATACCGCCGACGACTTCATTGAGGGGTTGCGTCATTTCGATAAGGATGCCAGCGGCTATATATCTTCCGCTGAACTTCGTCATCTGCTGACCACGCTCGGTGAGAAGCTCACCGACGAGGAGGTTGAACAGCTTTTGGCTAACATGGAGGATCAGCAGGGCAACATCAACTATGAGGAGTTCGTGCGCATGGTTATGAGCGGCTAATCCATAGCCTGTGATGATCGACAGCAACACGAAAAACTAACAAAGATAAATCAGAAAAGAAATCAGAAAGACAACAACAACAACAACAACAACAAGAAACTGATGAAAAATAAGTAGAGTAGGAGCACTCACCTGCCATGTTAGCTAGCCGTTCATTCCGCCAAAACTCCAATTCCAAGATTCCACGTTAATTTCTCTCTTAGCCACATATTTGTATGTTTTTTGTATATTCTCGCATTTCGCGGCAAATTGATATGATTCCATATAAAACAACAACGACAAAGAGACGACCACACACACAGCACACAAATTTAACCATTGTTTCAAGCAGGGTAAAGCACATCCTCGGAGAGGTCGCATCGTATTATTCTAAATTGTTCGAGTTTCTAATTCAATAATAGTTAACTTTATTTCTTCACATACACACATATATATACACACACACACATACACACACACACATACACACACAAACACACATCCGTAATGGAACTCAAGTCTTTAACGAGTATCGTAACAAGTATTGCTTAATTAATGATTTTGATACCTGTATATATATATAGACAAATGTATATATATATATATATGAGAGAGAAGCGTATAATTGAACTAAATGCGCATTTCAAATTTTTACATGTTTTACTTTTTTTTAATAATTTAATAATATATATTTAATGATTGAAACGAATGAAAGTAGATCTTTTTACAAAAGAAACGTACTTAAAGTTATTAAAAACATATGAAACAATTAGTTGCCTTTTTAATAATTTGTTATACAAATTTTAAAAGTATTTATTGAGCCGAAAAGAAAAGTTGAAAATGCAGTTCTGTAGCATTGAGCTTTGTGTAGGCGTGGTCACCGTAAGTGTTAAATATGAACTTGCTAGAGCTAAAAAAAAATAATTTTCCAAATCAATTTCATGCAGTGATTTGTGTTATGTGTTGAGGAAATAAAAAATATTAATAATAGGCAGTGTCTATTAAATAAAAGCAAGTCAATGCATTGTCAAGTTGTTGGTATAGCCAATGTGAGCCGCATTATATAGCTGTGGTATTTTATTGGTATTTTTTAATTCGTCAGCTACCGGTCACACTGCCCAAGCCACAGTATAGAAATAAACAAAAGCAAATATGTTGCATTCGATTTAAGCTTTATGGATTTGAAACAGTGCTCAACTGGTTTTCCTTAATTAGCGCCTAGCGTTGTTTTATTTTACTTTAGTTGCGCCTTCTTTTTAAGTCATGTCGAAAATAGCTGGCGTTGTCGCCACACTGGCAGGAGGGGGTGAGCCCAGTTCGCCAGTGCAAAAGGTTTGGAAGCCCGAATGTAAGTTGCAATTTGTTGAATCTATGCAATCTATTGATTGGCTGCAATTGATTGCAGTGTATAAAATACAATTGGACGCACCGGCACCGCATCCTGTGCGCTGCCAGCGCACCCTTCCTCTGCCACCAGCCAACAGCACCGCCGACGCCGTCGAAGACAATAGCCAGGCGGTGCGTCTCTATGGCAGCGAGTATCATGGCGTGATGGGACACCTGGAAGCGGAGCAGATACTGGCAAATGCCACCGATGGTAGCTACCTGGTGCGGCGCAGCCCCAAAACGGATGGCTACTATACGCTGAGCGTGCGCTTCAACAAACGCTGCAAACACTTCAAAGTCTTCCACAAGCCGGGCAGCGGGCATCATTTGCGCGAACAAGACAAACATTATGAGACAGTCCATGAGATGGTCGCCGATGGCCTGATCAATTTCCATATGCAGCTATATGCCAGCCCCATTATACAGCAGATAAATCAGCAAACCAAAAACTGTTACCAGCAGAGTCCATACATGACTCTGAATCGTCGCAAGCTGCGCGCGCTCTCCAATGAGCTGGGCAAATCGGCAAGTGTGGACACATCTGATGCAGCACCCACAATTACGTCCATTAAGGACAGTCAGCCGCAGGCGCAACAGCAGCAGCAGCAGCAGGAGGAGGAGGAGGAGGAGCAGCAGCTGCTGCCACAACAAGATCCCATGCCACTTGTATATGAGAAGCCGCATAATTTCAAGGTGCACACGTTCAAGGGACTGAACTGGTGTGAGTTTTGTGCCAACTTTTTGTGGGGCTTCACGGCACAGGGCGTCAAATGCGATGCGTGCGGGTTTATGGCGCACAACAAATGCTCGGAGCTGGTGCCGCCAAAGTGTGTGCCCGATCTGAAGTGCATACGGGGAGTGTTTGGCACTGATCTGACCACCATGGTGCAGCTACATCAGTGCAACATCCCTTTTGTGGTGCGCCGCTGTGTGGAGGAGGTGGAAGCGCGTGGCATGCTTCAAGAGGGCATCTACCGCGTCTCCGGCTTTGCCGATGAGATCGATGCTCTGAAACTAGCCCTGGATCGCGATGGCGAGAAGACGGACATGTCCGAGGGGGCCTATGGCAATGTCAATGTCATTGCGGGCACCTTAAAGCTGTATCTGCGCCTGCTGCCCGTGCCGCTGATCACGTTCCAGGCGTATCCCAGCTTCATGGCTGCCGGTCGTAAGTAGCCAGCGACTGAGTTGCAATTTGGAGATCATAATAACTTGAATGTCCCTTCCAGGCAATGCATTGCCCGCGGAACAGCTGCAGCTCATGGCGGAAGCAGTGCGTCGACTGCCGCCTGCGCATTTCAACTGCCTGCAATACATGCTGGAGCATCTGAAGCGGTAAAACGAATATTGTGCCCCAATCATAGATCTTTCATAGCAATCTTTCTGCCTTTTGCAGCGTTGCTTCGCACTATGCCGTCAACAAGATGAATGAGCACAATCTGGCTACTGTATTTGCGCCCACACTCATTGCCACGCCCCAGCATATGACTAATCTCACGGAGGAGATCTTCATGCTCTCCTCGCTGATCACACACTGCGAGAAGATCTTTGCCTCCAGCACGAAGAAGCAGTGAGCCACATCTTCCGCAACCGACACGCGCTGTCTCTTTCATATCCATATCCATATCTCAGTCCATCTCTTTCTAATTGGAATCCTTAATTAGTCTTAACACTTTAGCTAAGCGTTTATTTATTTATGAAAACATGAAAAGGAGACAACATTTTGCCGCATCCTCGATGCAATCACCAAAAATCTAGACTCTAAATAGACTTATATATGTATTAACAAGCCTTCCACATATATATATATATTTATATATATGTAGAGCATACCAAACGATACTATTTATACACACATTGAAAATAGTTTTGATTCTTCTTTGGAATTAGTATTGAATGTTGTAGGGATTAACGTACGAATTTACCAACAAATCTTATGGAAATATACTTTCAAATGTTTTTAGGCCAATAAAACGATGTCAGAAATCAAATGTTTATATATTTATATTATACATTATACATTATACATTATACATTATACATTGTACTAAGCTAGGTTAGCCATAAGTTCGAATTAATGAAAATCAAACTTTGAATCGTAACTCGAGCCAATCGAATGTTTCAATTATATCATTATATTATAATATTATGTTAAAGCATATGGAACGGATGTCATATAGCCAAGAACTAAGTTTTATTAGGTTAAAACTAACTGTTTTTCCGGTTAATCTAAAGTCTTAAAATCTTAGAAAAACGCAATTCTATATGAAAAGTTTTCTTTAATAACTCAATTTGACTGAATTCAAGGCAACAGAATTCGAATTCGAATTCGAATTCTTATATACTTCAAATGTTTATTGTTTGTATTTAAAATGTTCTGCATTTTTGTTTAATTTGTCAAAGGAAATGTTAAATGTTTAATTCGAAATCGAAATGAACTTCGAATTGCTATTTTTTGTATTTTGTATTCAAGATTCTTGCCTCACTTGAAAACGAATTCGACTACGAATTTAAATTCGAGTTCGAATTCGATTTCGAATCTAAAAATTTACTTTATAACTGGAACTAAGATTTATTGAAGTTTAACTCAACTACCGAGTACTTAATTCGATATCGAATTCGAATTCGAAAATATTGCATAACTTAAATGTTTGTTCAGCTCAAGGAGCTCAGTCAAAGGAATTCGAATTCGAATTCGAGCAACTTTTGTGCTTCACATCTTTTGCGTCTAGTGGGCCTTGACTAACAAATCGAAGAAGTGGCTCCAGAGCTAAGCCCGAGGATCATTCCACTTTCGTGTAGATATCAAAATTCCGAACTCTCAAAAATTTGTAAGCAAAACTTTTAAAAGAAATAAATTACAAAGGAACACAAACACAACACAAAGCGCCACAGTGAAAAGCAACTAACAAGAAGAAGAAGGTGAGGAAGTGGGAGAAGAGGAAGTAAAGAGCTAATAGAAACAGCAAACAAATTGCTGTCCAAAATGCAGACGACGGGCAAAAAATTTGATGGCAGCTCAGGCCGGAGGTTAGCTGGCAGCTGTGGCTGTGCCGGTGGCGGCTGCGTAGGTCACCATAGCGAGCACCCCTATAAGGTAAGCCATTTCTGGACCTGTGCCGAGCTGCTGCCACAGCTGCCGCAAGTGTCGAAGCTGCGCGACACGTATCAGCTGTTCGTGCGAACCAATGGCAACCAGTCCATAGACATACTGAACGTGTCCGAGTGTCTGCGCGCGATGGGCGTCAGCTTCAAGGAGTCGCATCTGAAGGCGTGCCTGGTGCAGCGTCTGCTGCGCTTTCCGCAGGTGAAGCCGCCGACACGCGTCAGCTTCGAGCTGGTACTGAGCATCTACTGTGAGCTGAGCCAGGCGAACGAAATTCCCAGCGCCAAGGTGATGATCAATGGGCTGAGCTGCTGCGATATGCGTGGCACGGGCATGCTGCCCTACGCCCAGCTGCAGCGCATCCTGACCACTGTTGCCGAGCGGCTGAACGAGACGGACGCGTGCGCGCTGCTCGACACCATGAAGGATGCGAGCGGCAATGTCAACTATGTGGCACTCATGGAGGCCTTGTTCGTCGAGGACAGCGAGCTGGCCGACAGGCTGCTGCAGGCGCGCCTCTATCTGTCGGCGCTGGGCGACAATGCCTGCCACATGGACATGCAGAAGCGGGACGATTTCATACGGGCGCTGCGACGGCTCGATGGGCGCAATACGGGCTACGTGACGGCCGAAAGGCTGCTGGAGCTGCTCAATCAGACCGGCGATCGTTTCAGCGTCGCCGAGCTGGCGGCCCTTACGCGGACCATGGTCAATTCCAAAAAGCAGATCGATTACCGTCGCTTCCTGCGGCTCATTATGAACGAGTGAGTGCGCGTGGTGGTATGGTTGTGTGCGGGTGTGGGCTTATGTAGTAGTTTCGTGTCGGATTTCGAACGGATTTCGGGTTAAATTTTTTACCATGTTACAATTTTTATATATACCTTCATACAGTACTAATTCTCTGCTGCGAAAATACCCCGACACTAGGCTCAATACTTCGGTTTTCATATTAAGTTCGTCAATTAAAGAGAATACTGTTTTAATATCTTTCTATGTATGGTTCTAATTATACAGGGTATATATAGTTCGTGTTGAATTTATTTCTCGAATTGCCTAACAGCGGCTGGCTGCTGCGACACACAGCAGGCGCGCACATTAGCGCCATCTATGTGTCAATGCAGTCATGTATAACAGTTGCACAAGCGGCCAAACGCTTAACAACAGCTGGCAACGCTGGCATTAACGGCTATTTTGCGAGTCGAACAATTTTCGCATTGGTAAAATGTAAATGGAAATTAAAATGAAAATGCAGACATGTGGATAATGCGTTTATTAAAAAATATTACATTTGTGACACTTAGGAGCTAAACGAAACTTACTCATATATCATATCATATATGGATTACACATGACAATAATTGATTTCTTTTTTTTTTTTTTTTTTTTTTTTTTTTGGATTAAGCATGACGAATAAATAGTTTAAGTCTATAAAAAAAATTGTTTCTTATATATTTGCTTTGTTTTTCTTTCAGATTTTTTGGATTGATTTGCTTTTTTTGTTCAGCTACAAATGCTGCTGAAAGCGATCTGGCAGCGCTGCCGCTGCTGCTGCTGCTGCTGCTGCATGTCAGACATTGTCGCTGTGGGCGTGGCTACCGCCGCCCACAGAGGTCAGCTCCATCTTGATGGGCGCCACAGCAGTTGCCACCGTCTGCTGCAGCTGCAGCATTTGATAGGCGCTGCTGCTGCCGCTGCTGTTGCTGTTGTTGTTGTTGTTGTTGTTGTTGTTGCTGCTGCTGTTGTTGCTGCGCTCCTTGAGCATATCACACTGTGCCTGCGCCTGAGCCTGTGCAAAGCTGCGCACCTGCAGAAAGAGTCCGCCGTTGTTGAGCAGCCGCGCCTGGTGCTCCTGCGCCTTGGCACGCAGACAGGCGATCGAGTTGTTTCTGTGCGATTAGAGATGAGAGATTAGAGATTAGAGATTAGAGATCAGAGATCAGAGATCAGAGATTAGAGATTAGAGATTAGAGATTAGAGATCAGAGATCAGAAATCAGAAATCAGAAATCAGAGATCAGAGATCGGAGATCAGAGATCAGAGATCAGAGATCAGAGATCAGAGATCAGAGATCAGAGATCAGAGATTAGAGATTAGAGATTAGAGATTAGAGATCAGAGATCAGAAATCAGAGATCAGAGATTAGAGATTAGAGATTAGAGATTAGAGATCAGAGATCAGAAATCAGAAATCAGAAATCAGAGATCAGAGATCAGAGATCAAAGATCACAGATCAAAAATCAAAGATCATAGATCAAAGATCAGATATCAAAGATCAGAGATTAATCCGCCAAAGCTTACCTAAACGCATCCGGATCGTGCTCCATGAGTGCTGCAGCAGCAGCTGCTGCTGACAAGTGCTGCGCATGCAGTTGCTGCTGTTGCTGTTGCTGCTGTTGCTGCTGCTGCTGTTGCTGCTGCTGCTGTTGCTGCTGCTGTTGCTGATGTTGAGCTGCTGCTGCAGCTGCGGCCACGGCTGTGTTCATTATCATATGGAAATCCTTGCTAGAGGCTGCGGCGCCGGCGCCTGCTGCATTTGCCGCATCCAGCAGCGGATGGTAGCTGGGCGTGGCAACTGCATAAAGCTGTGCGGGCGGCGGCTGCTGTTGGAGCAACTGTTGCTGCTGTTGGAGTTGCTGCTGCTGCTGTTGCTGTTGCTGCTGCTGCTGGAGTTGCTGTTGCTGCGAGGGCGATGGCGAGCTGAGCTCAATGTGCGGCGATCCGGAGCTGTTGGTGGTGGCGCCTGTGGGCGTGGTTGCCGCCGATGAGGCTGCCGCATAGCCGCTGCTGCCATGCGGCGTCGTCGACGTGGGCGGCGCATTGGAGGCGTTCGTCGGGCAGCTGCTGGGCGCCGGACTGACCACGTTCAAGGACTCCGTCGACGAGCTGAGCGCGCGCGAATGCGAGCGCAGTTCATCCGAGTGCACGGACTTGGAGCCGGCTGAGTCTTCATGATCGCTGACGCCAGAGTCGTCCTTCAGCGTCGATTGCGCCTCAATCGATTTCCGATGCATGCCTACGAGAGAGAGAAAGAGAGACAGAGAGAGAGAGAGAGAGATGAAGCTTTTTAGTATATTTAGTTATTAAGCATTTGTAGCTTAAGAGTGAGTGTTGAAGCAGGGCATAAAAGCTTTGCAGAATGAACTTTCAAGGAGCTTTTTCTTCTTTATAGAAGCTTATGAATGACAAGAGCAGAAAGCAAAGCATGGGAAAGCTTAGCTAAAACTGATAGAGCAACTAAAGCAAGCTTCGTATGAAAATACTTAAAAAAAGCTATATGAGTTTGAGCTGGAAGCTTGCCAGCAGAGTCGAGCTTATGAGATGTTATGGATGTAGCAGCTACAAAGAGATAGAGAGCTTACAGTTAGCTCTTATATGCCACTTACAGACTAGACAGTTGCACATATAACAACTTCACACAAAGCTTAAAGCTTTGCTGGCGCTTTCAAGACAAGCTTTAATGATCACATTTATTGCTGTAAACTTTAAGCACATTAAAAGCTCAATGGGAATCGAACTAGTTAACTGAGAGCTTTAAGTGTAATGATCTATGAGAGCTTTCAATGTCTCCTGCGCTGCTTCTTCAAGTGTAGATTAAGCTCGGCTACAGCTGGAGTGGCCTTTGGCATTCGTTTCCAACCGGTGCCAGTGGGAGTTGGCGTAGCTGAACAGCCGGAACAGATGGTTCGAGTTTCGCATATGCAGCATATGGCTGAGAGCTGACTCTGGCCATGCCCAGCGAATCTCTGTGAAAGTTGTTATCTGATCAGCGCTTGGCTGTCAGCATTTTGAGCATATTAACTGGTTGGGCTCTCATCAATTGCCAACTAATTTGACATACAGATACTTAATTAAAAAAGGGAGAGGGCCAAGCGGAACGCAAATAGAGTAACCTCAAGGCTGAGCTGTTAAGCCACTTAAGGCGCGGCCCGGTCCGGCCCCGCCGCTACTTGGGAATTAATTTGCGAAACACCCAAAGCATTATCAGAGCTAAGGGTTGCCCAGGGGCGGGGGTTGTTCGAAGGCAACGGCCCAAGTGCCAATAAAACCTGCAGTTCTCACAATGCGAATAGATAAACGATAAATGCCAAATTAAAGCTGTAACCCCAACCCCAACCCCAACCCCCACCCCAATCCCTGCCAGACTCACCCTTGGCGTGTGCATTTTGCATTTATTAAGCGATTATTAACAAATAAAAGGCCAAAACGCAAGTCAAACCAATGCCAACCACCGACAAGCACTTGTTAAGGGTAAGGCGCTGCCACCCGCAACCCCCGCAGCCCGCCCAACCCCCACTCTCAGTGCGCCTCGCTAATCCGCAAAGTCATTTCGAGGCAGCCAAAGAAATGCGCGCAACATATGACGACAAATAAAGAGCCGCAGATAAAGGGGGTGAGGGTGGAGAGAGGCGTCGGGGTGGGGGGTAAGGGCACAAAGATGCGTCCTGGCTGGCAGGACATGCACGCCAAATATGCTCACAATTTCGATTGAAGGACATCTGAAGTTCAGCGCTACGCACTATATATCTCATTTTATAATCCCCGAGCTGCTGCCCTTTGTCTCGCTCAAAATTCAATTAAGTCCGTCGACTTACAAAGTGCAGGGCCTGGCCGGGGGCTGGGGCTGGGGCAGTGACTGGAGCGGGGCGGGGCAGGGACATTCAGACTTGTTTAGTTAAGATAGTTCGATATGATTGTTGCATTTACATTTCTGTTCCATACCTAGTAGCCAGGGTGCCACCGCATCGTTGTCCTTGGCCGACTTGAGTATCGTCTCTGGCAACGGCAGCGAGTGCCTGACCATAGCTCCGTACAGACCATACTCGGCCATAATCGTGCTGCCGCCCCAGACCTTCTCGGTTTTGCGCCATTTGGCGCGACGATTCTGGAACCAAACCTGCAAAGCCAACAGAAAATTCAGATGTGTTAGGTCACTTCGGATCAAGATTTGAGCTTAGATATAGATCGTTAGCGCTTCGAGTTTCTGTTTCGATTGGTTTGAGACAGAAATGATACAAGCTTACACATGAAACATAGATAAAGGAAGTTTTGGTTGTATTTGATAGGAAATATGACCCATACTCTGACTTCCTCAGGAGGAAGTGGCATTCAGGATTAGCTTTTATTATGGACGGATGGACGTATGGATGGATGGATGGATGGATGAACGGATGAACGGACAGACGGACGGATGGATGGATGGATGGATGGATGGATAAACGAACAGACGGACGGATGGATGGATGGATGAACGGTTGAAAGGACGAACGGATGGACTCTGAGTCAGTCAGTGCGTCTGCCTCCAGCTCAGGTGTACCGCAGCTGCCTTTCGCAAGCATTGCCACTAGCCCATTGCTAATTGAATGCCCACGTTTGAATAAGTTCACAAACTTGAATGATAAATCAATAAGGACACATCCTCTAGGCTCAAGGAAACCATTGCAGTTTAGGCCAGGTTAGGTTAGACTGGTGAGGCTAAGACTCCAATGCTTAGCATACCAATTAGAGTTACATATATGGAGTTTAGCTTGAAATGAAGCACATTTCATATGCCCTATGATTAGGTCGAGATGCATATAGTGTGTGCATATACCCTGTATTTAAGAGAAAGTGGCTTTAGGACAAAGTTGATCCACTTCATTGGCAGGCGAGTCGTGTGACTCGATTGCTATGTCAACTAGTGCTACAGATAGGGTCTAGTAGAGGCGCCATATGGCGTGGGGTGCCGTAGGTGGGGGCATTTGAAGTCTTTGGTCATTGGCCGTTTGTAGGGCGCGGTGGCGCCTCACCATGTTGCAGCTGTTGTTAAATGTGATGCAAATTGCGAATTATTAAATAAAAAACCCATTGAAATTGAAAAAATGTAAATGGAATCTATTCGAAATGCTAATACACTCTCGGACCGTAAAGGACCCTCGGCCCGAGAGGGCGTGGGAGGGGGAGCTGCGTGCACACACACATAATAGCAAATAATATACATATTCGCATATAAGTGACCAAATTAGATTATCTTCCGAAACATTAAACCGATTTTCATGCAGAGCCTGACAATAATAATAAGAAAACATTAAATGTTGATCACAAAAGGGCGACAACAACAACTGTCACAATAAAAGGATTTGCCACACGCAAACGATGAGCACACCCGCCCTTCCTCTCTCGCCCTGTCTATCTGCTCTCATATATATGTATGCAGAGTCAAAGCAAAGGATTTAACTTTGACTTAGCAACCCTCGCAGGAAGTCAGCCAACCCCCCAGCCAGAACTGTTCGCTGTGTACCCAAAAAGAAGTCATCATTTTTCTGGTCCATCAAATCGTTTAGTTCTGCTATTAGTCATGTGCGAGACGCAGCGCACCAGAAGGCGAAGAGGGGCTGGGGGTTGGGGGTTGGGTGCGGGGGGATGCCCAAGAGATTGCCCAGCAAAGTGAAATCGACGCGACAGAAGTGGCTGGCAAGTAGAGAAAGCAAAATGAAAATTTATAATAAAAAGCAAAATATGCAAAATAGGTTGGCATGCAAAGAGCGAGCGGGAACCCTCAGCCAGTGTTGGTAAAGGCTGCAAAAGCAATGTGGCGACATTTTTGCTGAAATTCTTTTTGGCAAGGGCCAAAGACAAGGCAAAAGAAAATAAGAAAAAAACACAGAGAGACGGCCACGAAAGCTGAGCGATTGAACAAATCGCAACTGAGGGCAAAGCAGGGGCAGATTCAGTGGGGCTGAGGGTGGCGTCAGCCACTGTAAACGAAGATAAAGTGGTTTGGCTTTCGCTGCTGCCAGCTTGGCCAGTAGCTGCCTACGCATTCGAACTATATAAGAATATTTCCAGATATCGCATGATTTATTGAGGTGGGCAAGCCTAGGGGCTGGCTGGGTTCAGTGGGTGGTAGGTTCCTACAACTGACAACTTGGCTCATATTTTCGGGCAGCTGAGAAATTGGCAGGGCCCAGCGAATGGCTGGCAGCCACTCAGTGCGCTTCGTTGCAGCCCAGTAAATTTGGTGGCTGAAAAGCCGCAATTTTGGCCGAGTGCCCGGAGTGGAACGCAACGGAATGGAACAACGGGTTTAATTGTGCCGTAAAAACTAGTTCGTAAGGCACTTAATGCCAAGCAAAGCCTATTCTATAATCCTCTGTCATTTTGTGCAAAGGAAACGATATGGAATGGAACAGCGCATAAGCTAAATCCTTTTTGTGAGTAACTTTATGGCGAACAAAGCATATATTTGCCCTAAATATTTCGAGCTTTTATAATGATTTGCAAGTGGAACGAAATGGAATAGAACACTATGAGAGCTGAGTAAATGCATAGCTGTAGCTAATGTATTTTATAATATCTTATTTGAAGCTGCTTTTGCAAGCGGAATGAAATGGAATGGAACGTCATTGGTTTCTTTTCCATTATGCTCATACACGCTTGAATATTTATTTAGTTCGTTTCCATAATTTAATTTTCAGATTTATGAAAAATGAAACAGAATGAAATGAAACAACATGAGAATGAAACATCTCAGCTAAGCTTAAACTTGAATTTCATTCTATTTCAATGCAATATTAACTATGTGAGTTATCGATATCTGGTATTCTGAAGAAACTCAAACAACTTGGAATGAAACAACTGAAAGTCTCAGCTCATAAGTAGCTCGAAAACCATTTATTCACTGTGAAAGCTGTACAATTTTTTGAAGGTAGTTTATAGTCGTGTAACCTGCCTAAGATTATATAGAACTTTGATTGATTATGATAAGACTTTTGTTCTGCATGCATTCCATTTACAGGGTATCAGTGGGTTAGTCATGTGGAGAACTGCGCGTGGAAGTGCCTTCAGTGTTCGGTTAAGTGAAGAACACTTATGGGAATTGGATCGATGGTGTTCGAGTTGGCTGTAGGATTACCACTCGCATAACAACGGAACGGAACGTAACGGAACGGAACGGAACGGAACAGCATGGCCTGGGCTGCCAACTACTGATAAATTAATTTACACATACGGAGACAGGCGCACACATGCAGCGAGTGCAGCACGAGTTGCACTGAAGAGTTCTTGGGGCGTGGCAGTTGGGCAGTGCAGAAAAGCCCCGCCTCGTCTTACCTTTGCCTTTGCCTTTGCCTTTGGCCTTACCTTTGCTTGGGGCTCGGGGCGAACGAAATCAAATTAATCCGGTTTGTTATTTCATCATGCAACGTCAACGTCATCATCATCAGTTGCAACAACAGACAAAAGGCGCAGCAGCAGCAGCAGCATCGGCATCAGCGGCAGCAACAATTTGCAATAATAAATAGCAAGAGCAGCAACACACACACACACACACACACACACACACACAGTGTCATGTAAACAAACGTCTGCCAAAGGAGCGGAAAATTTCATTAACAAGGCACACAAGCAACAGCAACAGCAACAGCAACAACACCCAATTTGCTGCTGCTGCTGCTGCTGCTACTGTGGGGCCTGCATCTGTGCTGGCCATGTCACCAAATGCTCCTAGGCTGCCCCCGTAGCTCCCCTCAGCCAGCCGTGCCCCTGGCTCGTTACAAGCTGCTGCGAGCACTGATAATTTAATCAACTCTCATTGAATTATATCATTTTGCAATTTGGCGCTGCTGCATGCAACATGCGACAAGCTCTGCCTCGTCGCTACCGTCCGCCCGCCCGCTCGCCTCCTGCCATTTGGCCAACGTTCATTTCCATGCAAATTCAATTCTCATTATGATAGCAGCCAACGAGCTGTCGTCCCTCATTCGAGCGTCCATTTTGAGTGCGGAAATCAAAATAGGAAATGCCATAAATTTGCCCCAAAACGGAAACTCGTTGCCTATGCCTTACAGTGTGTGTGTGTGCGAGAGAGACAGAGAGAGAGAGAGAGAGAGAGAGAGCGAGTGCCAGTGCTTTTGCCTGCTCTGCCTATTCGTTTTTTACCTACTCTAAGCTGGCTTTGTGTAAGCAATCCAACTGGATTCCAATTGGATTCGTGCATAACACCAACTGGAACTCATTCAGCTGTGCCTAGAAATGCTTTAAAGAGCTGCTGTGCTTTACTTTAAGTTAAAGCTAATTAGCCAACTTGACTAAAACACATTGATTATGAGAGATTAGAGACTTGGATATATTTCGCATTTGCCCTGCCTACCAGTGGGCGGCTGTATTAGAGTATATATATATATATATATATATATATATATGTTCGATTTCAAGTCTTCAGTTTTCAGTCTTCATTTCTGCATTTGTGTCAAAGGCCTTTTTTAATTTATCTGCTTGTTAAATCAGCAGTTACACTTAACAACAGCTCCTAACAGCCGGACGAGTGCATGTCACTGAAGCATTGCCACCTGGCGCAAAGTAAGTGAACTCGAAATGCAAAGAATTCGCAAATATTTCACAAAATTACTGTGAATTGTTATTAAATTTTATTTTTTATTAAATTTATTTTTGCAATTATTTGATTTTCATCATTTTCCAGCAGAGAAAATCAAAGCAATTGATCTGCCCTCTCTCTCTCTCTCTCTCTCGCTTACTCTTGCTAGGCAGTTAGATGAGTTTAATATAGATAACAGCTTTGGCTAAATGATTACTTGACCATATGCCACACCCATCGCCCACCGCCCACACAAATACGTTGAGAATCACAATGTCAATTTGCTGATTGAAAATTTATTATTATTGAACTTTGGTTTGCCGACGCTCACTTTTATGGGCTGCAACGTTCCGAAACGCCCCTTTTTTTGCCAGCCAGTGGACGCCGCTCGTCTCGGCGCGAGCTCAAGGCCAGCTTTTGGGATGGTCTCGAGCCTTGGTCGAATTGCTCAAGTGCTCGCCAGACACACTATCGTTTGGATGCGCTTCGCTGGACACTGCCCAATGCCCACTGCCCAGTGCCCACTGCCCACTGCCACGCCC